CTTAATTTCCCGAATGAGGAAAACTTCTCGGTTGGAGACTTGGAAAATCCAAGTCACTGAGTGGGATCGGCTATATGAATCTTAGAACGCCATTGTGCTCGATCCTGTGTCATGTCCTTCGTTAGATCCAAGTACTCTAAGTCTTTTCTTAGAGTCTCTTCCAAAGTTTTCCTAGGTCTTCCTCTACCCCTTCGGCCCTGAACCTCTGTCCCATAGTCGCATCTTCTAATCGGAACGTCAGTAGGCCTTCTTTGCACATGTCCAAACCACCGTAACCGATTTTTCTCTCATCTTTCCTTCAATTTCGGCTACTCCTACTTTACCCCGGATATCCTCATTCCTAATCTTATCCTTTCTCGTGTGCCCACACATCCAACGAAGCATCCTCATCTCCGCTACACCCATTTTGTGTACGTGTTGATGTTTCACCGCCCAACATTCTGTGCCATACAGCATCGCCGGCCTTATTGCCGTCCTATAAAATTTTCCCTTGAGCTTCAGTGGCATACGGCGGTCACACAACACGCCGGATGCACTCTTCCACTTCATCCATCCAGCTTGTATTCTATGGTTGAGATCTCCATCTAATTCTCCGTTCTTTTGCAAGATAGATCCTAGGTAACGAAAACGGTCGCTCTTTGGTATTTCTTGATCTCCGATCCTCACCCCTAACTCGTTTTGGCCTCCATTTGCACTGAACTTGCACTCCATATATTCTGTCTTTGATCGGCTTAGGCGAAGACCTTTAGATTCCAACACTTCTCTCCAAAGGTTAAGCTTTGCATTTACCCCTTCCTGAGTTTCATCTATCAACACTATATCGTCTGCGAAAAGCATACACCAAGGAATATCATCTTGAATATGTCCTGTTAACTCATCCATTACCAACGCAAAAAGGTAAGGACTTAAGGATGAGCCTTGATGTAATCCTACAGTTATGGGAAAGCTTTCGGTTTGTCCTTCATGAGTTCTTACGGCAGTCTTTGCTCCTTCATACATATCCTTTATAGCTTGGATATATGCTACTCGTACTCCTTTCTTCTCTAAAATCCTCCAAAGAATGTCTCTTGGGACCCTATCATACGCTTTTTCCAAATCTATAAAGACCATGTGTAAATCCTTTTTCCCATCTCTATATCTTTCCATCAATCTTCGTAAGAGATAGATTGCCTCCATGGTTGAGCGCCCTGGCATGAACCCGAATTGGTTGTCCGAAACCCGTGTCTCTTGCCTCAATCTATGCTCAATGACTCTCTCCCAGAGCTTCATTGTATGACTCATTAGCTTAATACCCCTATAGTTCATGCAATTTTGTACGTCGCCCTTATTCTTGTAGATAGGCACCAAAGTGCTCGTTCGCCACTCATTTGGCATCTTCTTCGTTTTCAAAAATCCTATTGAAAAGGTCAAGTGAGCCATGTTATACCTGTCTCGCCCAAAACTTTCCCACACTTCGATTGGTATATCGTCTGGGCCTATTGCTTTTCTATGCTTCATCTTCTTCAAAGCTACAACCACTTCTTCCTTCCGGATTCGACGATAAAAGGAGAGTAGTTTCTACACTCTTCTGAGTTACTCAACTCCCCTAAAGAAGCACTCCTTTCATGTCCTTCATTGAAAAAAGCTTATGAAAATAACCTCTCCATCTGTCTTTAACCGCGTTCTCTGTAGCAAGAACCTTTCCATCCTCATCCTTGATGCACCTCACTTGGTTTAGGTCCCTTGTCTTCTTTTCCCTTGCTCTAGCTAGTTTATAGATATCCAACTCTCCTTCTTTGGTATCTAGTAGTCGTTTATACATATCGTCGTAAGCCGCTAACTTAGCTTCTCTGACAGCTTTCTTCGCCTCTTGCTTCGCTTTTCTATACCTTTCACCATTTTCATCGGTCCTCTCCTTGTATAAGGCTTTACAACATTCCTTCTTAGCCTTCACCTTTGTTTGTACCTCCTCATTCCACCACCAAGATTCCTTTTGGTGTGGGGCAAAGCCCTTGGACTCTCCTAATACCTCTTTTGCTACTTTTCGGATACAACTAGCCATGGAATCCCACATTTGGCTAGCTTCCCCCTCTCTATCCCACACACATTGGGTGATTACCTTCTCTTTGAAAATGGCTTGTTTTTTTCTTCTTTTAGATTCCACCATCTAGTTCTTGGGCACTTCCAAGTCTTGTTCTTTTGTCTTACTCTTTTGATATGTACATCCATCACCAACAAGCGATGTTGATTAGCCACGCTCTCTCCTGGTATAACTTTGCAATCCTTACAAGTTATACGATCCCCTTTCCTCATTAGAAGAAAATCTATTTGTGTTTTTGACGACCCACTCTTGTAGGTGATCACATGTTCTTCTCTCTTCTTAAAGAAGGTGTTGGCTAAAAAGAGATCATATGCCATTGCAAAAATCCAAGATAGCTTCCCCATCCTCGTTTCTCTCCCCAAAACCATGGCCACCATGAAAACCTCCATAGTTGCCTGTCTCCCTGCCCACGTGTCCATTTAAATCTCCTCCTATAAATAACTTCTCCGTCTGAGCAATTCCTTGCACCAAGTCTCCAAGATCTTCCCAAAATTTCTCCTTCGAACTCGTATCCAACCCTACTTGAGGTGCGTACGCACTAATCACATTGATAAGTTCTTGTCCTATTACAATCTTGATTGCCATGATTCTATCTCCTACCCTCTTGACATCTACAACATCTTGTACCAAGGTCTTGTCCACGATGATGCCAACACCGTTTCTCGTTCTATTTGTGCCCGAATACCAAAGTTTAAACCCTGAGTTTTCTAGATCCTTTGCCTTACTACCGACCCACTTAGTTTCTTGTAGGCACATAATATTTATCCTTCTCCTCACCATAACTTCCACTACTTCCATAGATTTTCCCGTTAAGGTTCCTATATTCCACGTTCCTAAACGCATTTTGCTCTCTTGAACTCTACCCTTCCGTCCTAGCTTCTTCACCCTCCCCCGTCTAATAGGATCAAAGTACTTCTTTTGTGTGTCCCGGGTAAAGTTGATAGGAGCATATGCTCCCAAACAACTTTGAGTGGAGTCGTTCGAAAAGAAGTTTCTATGGCCCCCTTGCTCATTTAACACTGCATCCGGGTGCCGATGGAGATACAGCGACCCTTGCTCACTTATCACTGTGCTCAGGCCACGGGTGACGCCCTAGCTTTAGCGCGATTTTGTTCTGGATTCATTTTCATAAGGATTCGACGTGATCATGGAGTGCAACACCACTAATTGTATTTATGGGCTCGACTTTTGTTTTTTGTACCCAGTTAATATACCCTAGTTAGACCCGTACAATTTTAGTACTCCATTGATTTTAGACGCTGAGAAGTATTATGTATGGATGACTGCATGTCCGCTTCATTTGAGACAGAATTATTATAGCCTGGAAAGACCTGTTTTACGGTTTGGTTGAGTTGCTGAATGCCCTTCCCTCGTGTTAAAGTTCAAGGAGGCCAATCTGTGTTGCACCAAGTCAGCAGAGTGTGGTTTTATTTTGCCAGAGGCATGTTTTTCTGTGGGGGCTGGGAGCAATGTGAGAATTTGAATGGACTGAAAGAAGGATATGTGACAATGTCAGGTGCTGGAGCAACTGGGTATAGAGTAAGACAATTTTTCATCTCTTTAGGAATCTCTTCCAACAATTCAAGAATTTTTCTAGAGTTAGGGAAAGGGGTTCTGCACTGAGTGCTTTCTGGATTGGTTTGTCTGTTGCCAGTTTTTTAAATGGATTTTATGCTTTGTCTGTTGTTTTAGGTTCGGTAAGCTAATGCCATGTTTGTAAACATTTTGTTTTAGTTTTTATTTCCTATGAAGGGGAAATTTAAGAGAAAAATGAATGATCCAGAAAGGGAGCTGAAGTAGATGTGGAAAGAAGGTATAAATAAACTGAAAACATCTTTTAGTTGTTCACTTTCAAGTTTTTGTTTCATATATTCTCCTCCATTTCTCCATCCTCCTTCCCACCACGCTCCTTTCTCATCTTTTAGTTGTTCACTTTCAAGTTTTTGTTTCATATATTCTCCTCCATTTCTCCATCCTCCTTCCCACCACGCTCCTTTCTCCCACATATTTCCTCTCCATCCCAAACAAAAATATCGAAACTTAAAACCAATAACGAAAAGTTCAATTGATAACCATTTCATCTTTTGTTTTTAGTTTTCACTGTTTTGATTGAGATATCAAGAAAGTATTGGGGAAGATGTAGGTGATGGAAGAGATGGGATGAGGAACAGAAGAATAATATTGAAAGTGAAAAAGAACTTAAACTAGTTAACGGTTTTGAATTTTCATTTTGTGCGTCTTTCTTTGTACATTTCTTCTACATCTCCCACCATCCTTCATCCGCTCTTCTTCATCCCTTTGTTCCCCCATGAATTTCCCCTCTCACAAACAAAATATTAAAACCGAAACGAAAAAGAAATGGCATCAAATGGGCCTGAAATGTTTATAAAATGGATCCTAAAATATGTGTGCTTGTCTTCCATCATAATGCAACTCCCCTTGTTCTGTATGGTACAGTGGATGCATGTAAAAAGGGGAATCCTTGACAGAACCACCCCTTTCAGTTGATGCATTTGAAAAGATCGGTCAGAGATTAGAACCAGGTTTCTCCCACTTTGGAACATATAACTATCATAGTAACGAAAGAGATGATTCTTTAAGTAATTTCCTCATCATACGAATATTAAAAATTGATTCATTTTGCAAAAACAAAAAACGAAACATGCGACGGCATAAACAAAGTTCAGGTATAGATGGAATAACTTGACGACATTTACCCTTCAGCATCCAGATGATATTTGAAGTTTCCATCGATTCTACTTACATGCATATTATACAGCCCCCTTTTGTTGATGGATCCCTCAACGGTTATTTATATATATTATATGTATATATGAATCCTCATATTTCAGCACATATTAAATTGCATTTGTATCATTTATTTAGGCAGCTTTAAGGAAACAAAATAACAGAAAGAAACCTGGCGTGCATGAGTTGCAAACGTTAGTTGTTACAGCAGCTTCTGATACAGATCCAGGGAGCCAGACAGCATTCCTACACTAAATGTGTAGCAAATAGGTGTTACAACTATTTGACCAAAATGATGCCAAGTAAATGAAATATGATAGTCTCATAAAATTTCAAACATCATATTTCAACAGAATTAAACAGTTCCAACTTGAGAAAGACTCACGAAGCCCTAAATAAAAAAGAGATAAAAAAGAAGATCAATAAGAGGAGACTTGATGACTTGGTCTCTCACACACTTTTCTTGTCTAAAAAACTCCTATTCTACAAAAATAATCAAGGATAAGCTACAACGTGGAAACAAATACAAGTAAACCATAGACCCAAGAAATAAAGAACTCTAATCATCAACACGCAGCCTAGTAAATAGAATACAACGTAATCTCATTGAATACCACTACAACCGAAAGATTTGCTCCCAGTCCATATACTAAACACCACTTTAGCTTTCTTACACCTTCCAGCCACCTAATGCCTTTCCAACAGTCAACAACAATATTTTGGACAAACAACTCAAACTTGCTTCCTCAACTGTCTCCGCCATAGACTTAAAACGAGCAGCAAAGAAACATGAGATTCACACTTTCCCTATCTCATTTAGAAAGAGAACACCACTGGGAAGAAAAACTAAAAACTAAAAAAAATTAGCTTCTCCCATTTGAACCATATCACAAATATTGACTTTCCCATGCGCCATTAGCAAGCCATTACCATTCCAAATTTTCCCTTTAAGGTTGAAAGGAAGGAACTTCTAGCCTGTCACAAGGAAATCTGAGAAAGGGATTGCATGAAAATTCTCCTTAGGGATCTAAAAATCATTCCCTAGAATCGGGTTTACTTTGAGAAAGGCGCACACTTTCTAACAGCAGTAGTAATTCAGATAGCTCCTCCACCAATGCTTCATTCAAATTTCTCCAGACATCTAAGTCCCCACTATAAGCATAAGTAGCCCACAAGACAATGTTGGAATCATTAAGTTAAGACTGCAAAGAGCAATGGGTATCCTTCTCTAGTATTTAGATATTACTGCCAACGTAGAAAGACAACGAATAACATAAAGAAAAATTAAGGCTACTAATACCAATATAATAAATGAAAATTCATATAAGTGAATATTCTAAATGGAAACTTGTAGCCTACGAGTAGAATTAACGCAACACATGATAGGTTTACCCAATAATGCCCTATGAAGAGAACAATTTGAGGGATGTCAGTTATGTTGCTTCTTCCTCTGATCAAGATTTAATCTTGATCTCCATATAAAATATACACTAACAAATGAGAAACAAAAGGGGACATGAGGAGGCATACTAATCAGTCAGGTCAGAACAATGATATAACCAATAGATTGTCTTTCTTGTTAACAAATTGTTAAAAGTAATGCAGATAAAACTTCTTACAAACATGCAATTTAGACTAGAATAAGTATATCTTAGACACGGACCAACCTGAGGATAACCCAAGCATCCAACCATGAAATTTCCATCCTGTACGAAAGACACGTAACAATTACATAAGAAAAAAAGGTGGAGATGATTACAATTTACAAATGGTTGTAGACTTCCATAAAACAGTAATAAACTTATGACAAAGTTACAACTGTCAGCCATAAAGGAAACTGGAGAACAAAAGCCAGATCCCTGAAAAATAATTTACAAGAAAGTACAACTATGTAAAGACTTAGATCTGAACAATACTCTATTTACATACTACAAGAACTCTAAAGCAATTTAATAAAACCAAGCATCCAAAAAGGGAAGCTTGGTAAAACGATTAAGTTTCCACTTATTTCTATTAGGATTCCTTGTAGTAATCACATCACATACTCAAATCCCCTTAATCAATGGTCTATATTCTAAGAGGAAAAGACATCAAAATGAATCAGGCTTAATGATATAATGAAATTTATAACATTTTAGTTTCACTAATCACACCTTTTTCATTCTAAAGTTAACATGGTTTATTCTCTTTTTGAAGGTTCCTTGCTACAGGAGTTTGTCGAGTTTAATCTCTAATTTTAATGATATATATTTTATATGCTGGTTTTTATGGCTAACTATACTTTTTGAGAGCACTAAAGATGATAACTACAAAGAAACCTGCTTATATGACTTCATATCAACAAAGCAACCAGCTTGTTTCCTAGAGACACATGTTCGCTAAACAAATACTTCAGGTTTTCTTGAAGGCTTTACACACTTAAGATAATGAGACTTAAGTGAATAATTTTAGGCAAGAAACTTTGCAAAGCGTAAACATAATGAGGCTCAAGTGAATAATTACCCGGTTTTGTCTAAGTACCATATCTGCTTCATGGCACAGTCCACATCGCCGAATGAACTCTCCAGATGTGTGCTGATCATCCCCACTAGGCCTGCCAGATCTGCATCAAGTTGAATGACTGCCATTGCTATCCTAGAAAAATATATACAGTGGAGAAACAAGAGGAAAGTAAAGTTACCTCTCAAAGAATACTGACATGGCTTCAAAGAGTTTTACTTTGTTCAACCTTGCCTGCAAAATTCCAGATTTTGTGATCGTCAAGGTTTAAATCCTACAACATAATGAAATTTCTATTTTTTCTTGGCATCGATCCCAAACTGCCAAGTTGTTTTCAAAGCCAAAGGTCTTTGGGATGGATATTATTCCATGTTACACAATTTAATACTGATTTTCATGCTGTATGGAAGCAGCTTGAAGAATTTTTTATTACAGGAACTTGGAATGCTTATACATGTGGAAAAAGAAAAAGAAAAAGAAAATATCTTGCCTGTTACAAAATTAAAGTTTCAAGACCACTTATGTATGAGTCCCAAGCTCGGCTTTCATCATATGCATTGTATATTTCAATGGATATGCCAATCTATGTTACATGTCTAATTGATGTGTTTGTAGCTTTCCCAAAATTTTCATAAAATCTCCAATATTTTTTGATAAATTTTTTTCATTTTTTTAACTACATGATATTTCTTTTAATAGTTCATATTTCCACTGATATTTTCATAAAACGAAACTACCAGCATATCAGTGGACACTAAGGTTGCCTTGGTATGCGGAATGGAATTCATGGGAAAATATTTCCCATTTCTTTTCCTAGAGGAAGGGAAATGCAAAATTTCTTTCCCAAGCTTGGTAACAATGGGAAAGAAGGTAGAAAATATCATTTTTTGGGGGGATATAAAGGGCAATTTTAATGAGGAGAAATTTGTCATAGAAAAATAGGAAATATGGCAATCAATACATTTTTTGGTTTCCCATGGGGAAGGAAAGTGAATACAAAGGGGGTGGAGGGATTCACTCCCCACCCCCTATTTCCCCAAGACCCAGGAAATCATTTCTCAAACTTGGACTTACCATACATGGGAAAGTCAGCACTTTTCCATTCTCAAGTTCTCTTTCCCGCATACAAAATGTAGTCTGACAGTTTCATCTTTAGGTGATATATGTTCTAAAGTCTAATTAGTACGATATGGTTGTCTATGTGCATAAGACTAGAATCAGAATAGAAAAGAAAATTAAGCTATAAATAGTAACTGTAAAATCAAACTACGAACTTACATCTAGGAAGCAAGCTTTCATTTGCTGCAAGCAAGTTTCCAAAACTTCAGCTTTGCTCTTAGCACCTTCACTAACAGCTTTCATGTCACGCTCCATAACAGCTCTAAGGTATGGTTTCCACAGTTTATACCTAGTAAGTAAAGATTCGCATAAATTTGATTCCCCTTGAATTTGAAAAGACATACATCAGTTAACAAATATTGTTCTTTCTAGATATGAAGTCATTAAAAATCATGTGAAACAAAAAATATCTGCAAGTAAGCTTCATGTGGAGCTTTGAAGCTTCAGACTTCTAACCATATAATAATAATTATTGGACAGCTTTGTAAGCATATTGACATGTCATACATTGTAAACTAGAAAATGAAACTTCAAATATGAGGTTTTTTCATGATAGAATATAGGTAACCCTCAAGAGTTCACTCAACAGACTTGCTGATCTTGGATATATTTATTTACTGAGCAATAAAAAATTATTGGCAGTAATCATACAACACAGTACAAAGACTACGTGTAGTGAACAAAAGATCCACAATCTATATGATACAACTCTCATAAAAAATTCCAAAAGAGAAGAGGACTTTCATCGGAAATAGTTTCATATATACTTCAAATTGTAGTAGTTTAAGTCCCAAATGACTTACACCTCAACGGTCAACGCCTTGTATACTTTTTAATTTTTTTGGCAGTCTTCATTTTTAACGGTACACAATGTTTTATCATATTTTTCAAGATGTATAAATCCTTTACTTTTTTATTGATATCCCAGGACTCTAGTCAGCATTTGCTAACAGAATCTAAAATGGACCACTGATGAACCATACAATATCCCTTCTTACTAGCATTCGATGGTTCATTCATTTATAAAATATCTCATCAATCATAAAACATGTTTTACAGATTTCCAGGTATGATAAGAAAATTCAAAATCAATCTTCATATAACTCCTTTAGTTAGTTTCTGCGGATAAACTAAAACATTAACATGCCACCCAACAAGAAATTATGATTCCATAGCAAACTAGTTTAATAGAAACTGATTCACAATGGGCTTGCTTGTAGCTCAAGTCAAATGGTTAAGAGCATTTACCCCTACACTAAAGGTCCTCGGCTCGATTCCCCCCTCTCACTCTATCGCTTGTATCAAGAAAGAAAAAAATGCAGCTGATTCTTAACAGTAGTTTAAGACTCAAATATTATTTTTCAGAAATGAAGATGAATTTGAATTTCTTACCCCATGTCATCATATCCCATCACCAACGCTTCGCCCTGCAATTATGCCAAATTATCAATACAAACTCCACTAGCTTTCTACTAGGATACAGCAAAGAAATGTTCTTTTTCTTTCCGCTCCTGGTGGATTACTTGTCCACTCTACTGTAAAGAATTTCTAATAAAATGAAATTTCTCCTTCTAATAAAAAGAAGTTCAAGCATTCAGCATCACTTTTGCACATTACACACCATTCAGGAGAATGATACCAACAGGGTTTCCTCCTCTATACCATGTCATAGGAATTCACCTACTATGAGCAATTGTCCAAGCAAAAAGCCCAACCTTTAGCCTTTCAAATTTCGTGAGATAAACAAATAACGAGAAAGTAGGAAAAGTCGTGCAAAAGAAAAAAGAAAAAAAAACTCATGACTATTCCAACTCCAAATTCTGCTATCATGCCTAGATGGGAGCAACACGACATATTACTGAGAAGACCTTTTGAGAACTACAAATAACCTTCCAATTCATTTTGCTCCCCACTTCTTTTTTCCTAATATTAACTAATTGTTTCCCTCGCAACAAGAAGCAAACAGTAGGCAAGCCCCTCCCTCCCAAATAAAAAAAAACAACAACATTCAGGAAAACCATACAAAGATTAAACATGAGGGAGAAAGAATATATCATATTGTTATAGCCAGAGAAAAGTTACAAGATTGGTCGGTGAGAAACGCATGCTTGAGTCCTTGGTTGCATAAAATCGATCCAGCAGCTTTTTTATGTGATCATGCATCGTTGCATCTGTGCCAATGCCCTCCTAATAAATCAAACAAAAAGGTTAGAAAAATATATTTAAAATATGTAATAATGTATACAGGGTATATACATGAAAAAAGTAATAAAAATCAATATAGCTGCCTAAGAAAATTACTAAAGAGATAAATTCATAGAGTCGATACCTTGTCCATACAACTCAGCAAATCAGCTTCACTTAAAAGTGGTGGAGGCCTAGTGACTCCCGAATCAAGAGTTAATGTTGTTGGGACAAACTGCAAGATAAATGATTATTGTTTTAATGTATAACAATCCTATGGTTTTACAATGCAATTTACAACATAAGTCACAGTTTCATTTCTTTTTCTTTTCTGTTGGCCAGTCATAAAGCAGAGGGTTAACCACAGGCTCAATAACAAAAAAATCTGTACTGCAAATTTGTTAGAATCTTTGTCTTCCCATTTTTTTCCCTTCTTTTGCCTGCAGTGTGTATGTGTGTGTGTTTAAAAGGATTAAAACATGATCTGACACAAATTTTGCACACCCATTGAACCGTTATGCCATAGTTGCACTTAATAAAAATGTAATTTCAACAGTCCTTTTATCCGCCCCCTAAAAAAAACAAGAATTCAAAGTACAAAATTGATACAATGAAATAATACTCAATCTTTAAGAACAAAAAAAACACTGAATTAATAAGGGATCCTAGAAATAAACTTGAAATTTTAAAGCCATATCAATGGCCAATTTAGTTAATGCTCACCTAATTAAGGGTCAAACATACATCATAAATCACCAATAACATTAGCCAAACTTCTAGTCTCTGCAATTTGATGACTTACATGATAATTTGGGTAACTCAGTCATGTTTTATCACTTGATCTAACAGTTCGACCACACATATTCACTTGAAATCATTTCATATTAAGTAGGATGTATATTTAGAGTCATATGCTAGATTATGGTTTTCAGCTCGCTGATAGGATATGAGAAAAGGCTTGTGAAATGGTGACAGAGAGATCATATATACAGGAATGAAATAAAACAATAATTGAACACCAATTGAAAATTTCGATGCATAGCTTAATGTTTAATAAACACACCTGTTGTCCATATTCATATGTTGGTAGCAACGAACCTCCCCATGATTCAAATCGATAAACGTCTAAGTAATTTTTCTGGAAAAGAAAAAGTAATTGAGTCAAATAAAAAATTTAAAAACTCATTCTTATTTACATATAAAGACTTGATTATGTAGTACTGCTTATTTTCCAAACATATAAAAACTATTGATTATGTATTGCCAAACCATCACATAGGGACAATTCAAAAATCATGCAAGATGTACGAACACATTGAAAGCATATCAAACTCACCGCAGGAAAGACAAAACGGCAAGGCCCAAGGATACTGTTCAACTTCTAAGCCTAGAGCTGATTCAGGACCAAGAAAGAGACTTACTAGGAAGAAAGTAGAACAGAAAATGGATCTGGAGTCTCGGGTTACAGTTCCGAGGTTTGGTATGGATTTCAGGTTCCCCAAATTCGGAGTGTTGGGACCCATATTTTGGTCCTGACTGAGTTAGAGGTAATGGGTCTAAGGTCCTGGACATGGGGTCCATCTCATTTATGTTAGCAAAACATCACATGCTAGTAATAAGAAAATAAACGCTCAAACTCAAACCCTAAGTCAGCCATATAAGCTATACAAGAGGGTCTACTGCAGAGTAGCCAATGTCACAAGTATTTGTACAGCTTGAGAAGCATGGGAACGTGAAGCTCCTACAATGAACATCAGCATTCATTGTTTCGCAATTTCCACACTTCAATTCCCCTTAGTTAATACATTTTTGGGATTTACCATGCCAAATGCTGGCATTACCCTACTTTAAACCTTTCCCTAGAAATCCAGATAACACATCTCTTTTCAATGACACTGTGACCCTCCAACGCCAGTCTTCCTCCTCCCACCACAGGGCCACCTTATTAAACATATTTATATACACATGCATATCATGAAAATATTGCTCACTCTCATACAGTGTTTCGCTAAACTTTTAAAAACGGGGTTCAAGAAATTGGTCAGGAAACCAACTTTTGCTATTTTCCGCAGAAACTTCCGCTGATATCAATACTTCTATATATATTTCTATAAACAGGTTTACAAACATAATCAAGTATTTTTGGATCACTCCAAAGGACTACAAAATTGATAATTCATGTTTTGAAACAAACTTTAGTCTTTTAAAGTCTAGGATTTTCCTGTATTGTCCTAGTCAAACTATGTTTTCCTAGTCTTTAAAAGTCTAGGACTCGCTCCAAAGAACACTACGAGTGATTTCCGGAACTCTACTAGAGGGATGTAAGTAGTTTTAATCATTTCTTATATTTATCCGCTACCAGATCTCCTACCATCACCCCTTTTCAGCCAGCCAAAACACAAGAAAGTACACATCTAAAGAATTCCCAGCACAAGTAGCTAGTAAGAAATGGCACTAAGATCACTGTAGGCCAAAAAAAAAACCCACCCAAATTTTTTCAAGGCGAACCTAATCTTGACTCTTGACAACACCTTTCTCATGAAAGTCAACACGCAGCTTAATGGTTACAGAGTTTCCAACATTTGAACAAAAACAAAAAACAAAAAGATAACACTTAGTTAGGGGACTAAGAAAAAATATAAAAAACATATATTAACCAGCAAGACCAAAATTTGACTCCAAAGAGTAAAGAAGAATTAAGACTGGAACAGAAAACTCACTGCTAGTATAACTCTCCCTGAAGCAGAGAACAATTCACCAGCAATATCAATCTCAACAGTGGTTTCTGCCCCTACAGCTGGCTGTGAGACACATGCCAGGAAATGGCGAACAACCAGCTCATACAATCTCTGAAAACAGAAAAAAAAAAAAGATAATACAAGATAAAGTATATATCTCAGCTTGGATCAAATAAAAGAGCAATTGAAGAACATGCACTGAACAAATTATCACATGTGCATGCCTTAGACTACTTACATGGTGATCTTGACTCCATCCTGATTCTCCAGAAGAAAATTTAGTGGGGTGGATAGGTGGATGGGCCTTGTCATCATGTCCACCATTGCTAGGGTTTTTCCAAAGCCCAGATGCTGGGTCCAACAATCGTTGAGCATATGATCCCCATCCAGGATGCCTTTGTTGTTCTTCCACAATTGCCTACATTACGATCCAACTAGTCAGTCATGCAGCAAAAGGCAATGAAATATTACCAAAATAGAGCTGCAAGAACCGAGAGATGAACAGAATAAGCGTTCTATGAGGCTAAAACCCCGAAGAGTGAAAAGGCAATAAAAATGACAAATTATGCTAATGTATGATAAATGGCATACAAAGGGGAACTTTAAAGGCTTCAAAACAGAAATCATTTCATGTTCCACAAGTTAAAATGACACTTCCAGAAGTACTACTCATTTTGGTAATTTATTGTTCAACCTCCCCTCCAGTCAGAGTTCATAAAACTAGATTGAAAGGAAGAAAGGGGGGAGTTGCCCATGCATCTATAATCGAGGATCGACTGAGATTTAGTCTCGAAGATCTGCTTTTCAAGAAGGAAAGGCACTCGAGACAGAGCAAAATTTGATAGGCTTAGGAAGGGACAACAACACTAAATTTTTTCACAAAGTGGCAAGTGGGAGAAGAAAAGAGTAACTTGATCATATAGCATGGACTTTCTTGGTCATGCTATCGAGATGAAAAACTTTGATCTTAAATGGAATCAAAATACTTAAATAAAGTCAACCATAAATATACTAAAACCCTAAGCTACGAAACCATACCCTGCACCATTCTTGTGCATCCACAATCTCCTTACTCAATTTATGAGAACATTAGATCTCATGCCATAAATGTACGCATACATTTTATTATTGCATCCACCTACATGAACTAGTTTCTTTGTGAATTCTGTCATTCTCTATTCTCTAACCATCTTTGTTCCAAATTCTTCATTGCTCTCACATTGCATCTGCTTGACCTCAATTCCTGAATTAGTTATTTTCAAATTCTTTTACCCAGCCTATATCAAAATCCTAAATTGTACAAAATCTCAATGCTTTTCAACAGTTACTACTGCCAGAACCAGTAACATAGTTTGTGATTCTCAATAGAAGAAAAGGTTACTAACACGCAAATCCGTCCTTTCAGAGAAGCCATCAGTTTCCGTACGAGGATAACTGATGAAACCAGCTTGGTACAGCTCTTCTGCCACCTACAATCAGTAAGGGTGAATGAGTGCAGGGATAAAATGTGATGAAATCCACAGCCACAAAAACATGTCAAATGTCTATTAAATGAATATGAAATAGAATTTAAGAAAAAGGATGTTGCCCCTTTACTGCACAAGAAATATATTATTTTTATCCTCCCCTTTGGAGAAGAAGAAAAGTGAATATATTATAATGGCAAATAACCCCTCTGAAACATTTACTGACATACAACGGAACCAGCCCATTTCATCAAACTCTAAGACCTAAATACCTTCAGTCACAACTAGAAGATTCATAGAAAATTATAAATTATGAGACAATCATTTAAAATTCTACTCATAAACTATACATCTGAATCACAAATCAAACTTTAGTAGAAAACCAGGAATGGCAGTGCCTGTAACTTAAATTCAATGCTATGGATAAGTCTATTAGGTTCTTTCCCTTGTAGCTTCAAAACAATGACAAGGACAGTCAAATCTTTAGGAGAACTATGAAGCAATTGGCATTGATTTTTTTATCAATTTACCTGCAACCCAGAAACAGATATACATCAAGACAACATTGTGGCCCATGTGCTCACCTTCATTGTGTGTTCAGAACTCATCCGAAAGTATATTGAGGCACGCTGTTCAAGCTGAATTGTATTCAGAGGATTTGGAGGCTTTTTCAGCTTCTCCTGTTGTCTAACCTTTGTCACCTGTGTTTTGGAAATTTTAAAGCGGAGAGTGCAAATGGATATACGAAAATTAGTAATGTTACACAAACTCAACATGACTTACAGTAGCAGTTGGTTCCTCAACACACATTTCATAAATAACAACAGCACAAGCGTAGTCAAATAAATGTCCACGCCTGCAAAAGTATTAAAATCATTAAACTTCAAATGGTTGCTGAAGCTGAAAAGGAAACACAAAGTCTTCACAATTTACATCCAATGGAATGTAGCAATGCCTTCATCTGATCTGTGTGAACAGTTTATGGTCCAAAACTCCTCTGGCTCGTGCGACTGTATTTCCCAATATCTCTCCACAACAAATCCAAGTGTAGGGAACTACAAACAAAGGGAAATTATAAAGCATAGATAATTGTAGGGCACTGTGCTGAAAGGGGAGGCAGATTGAATATTCTGACATTTAAATCAGTATATGTTATGGATCTAAAGTTTGTAAACTTGTAATCAATTACATACCTGGCAAGGACCATAACTTAGAACAAGATTTCTGTCACTTGCAGTGGAATCAATAACAAATGCATCTCTCAGCAGCATAGTCTGAAACCTAGTAAACGAAGCACCAATCCGAAGATCTATTTCCTGCAGAAAAAAGAAAAGAAGATTAAACTTTATTTGACACAGGAAAACAGTGTTACCAAAGAATGATAGACCAATAATGTTAGTATGAAGATATGACTAACAGTGATCCCTTGAGTTAACCACAAATAGTGGGTGGTGAGAAACGTAGGTGTCCTAGAGCATAATTTGTAGTTCCCAAAAGTCTATAGGGTTTTATATAACCTAACAAACTAACTTGGAAGTTACGACCAACAAAAAGAGAGTTGGGTAATGAAAGGTACTCACTTGCCTAGCATCCACTGCATCAGCAAAGAATTTGTTTGCGTTGACAAGATTCTGCACTGCATTATAGATATCCCTGAAACGACAATAAAATTAAACAGTGCGGTTCGACTACTTGAAACCAAGAGGAATGAAAATTTGGAATTTAATTAGGTCCAGAACCTTTCAGTCAAAGCTGAGAAACGAGCCCTCCTTATGGTAAGATGACGATTCACGGCTGTGCATACTTCTATGACTTCAAACGCAATGTTTTCTCCTTCTCTATCACAATCGAGCCACAAGACAAGCCACTGGCACCTCCTTGCTTCCTCCTCTAACGTCCTCTTGATATCCAACTTGTCCTACATTTTTATATTTACAATCCACACAAACAAAAATCAGAGGCCAACATTGCTGCATATTCGATTGCAGATTAACACACTACTCTTGCTACTGCCCTAACACACCAGTAAGAATACGGTAAATAAATCAAATAGCCCTAACATATCAGAATCCTTGACGGAGAGAGAGAGAGAGAGGAGCTGACCTCAGGGACTTTTTTATGGACGGGAGCGGTAAAGAGAAGGGCGGGGTCGCAGGCGTGCCACTTTCGAAAGCGGTCCTCAAATTCGAGCTCCATGAGGTGGCCGGTGACGGAGGTGACGAGCATGTGGCAGGGGCGGCCATTGATTGAGTAGTTGAACTCGTAGATTTTGTTGTAGCGGGATCGGCCTTCCCTCACTCTCAGCCCTTGCCCTTGGTTCCCTGACAGTAATGTCGCCACCGACTTAGCCACCGATGGCTTCTCCGCCACGTTCAGCACCCTAATACCCCCTGACATTTTCACCACTCTACTCGCCCTGCCTCCATTTGATTTCGCCTTCGAATTGAACTCTACTTCCTGGATTTTCCCGCTTGCGCCAACTCCAATTGTTCGGAGGGATTTTTCAGGGAGCCTATTTCTTTATTTTGGGCCTTTTCATTTCTGATTCTGACCCGACCCGCCTTACCAAACCGTTGGACGCAGAAAGGACCTCTAACTCTATTCACCAAAGCACGTGGCCGGGTTATTGCTTTTGTATTTTTGGGTTGGGCTTTACTGGTAGATCTTGATCCATTTGTAGGACACCAGCCACAAGCTTTTGCTTCTTTTCTTTCTCACTCACATATAACTATAGTTTTACTCTTCTACTTTCTCTCTCCCGCTTCGTGTTTTTCTCCTTTTTTTTTATTTTTATTTCAATTTCTTTTTTAAATTATCATGTATTTAAACACACATATAATGTGTGATTTTTATCTAGTTGTATTTAGGAGTGAGCATAAAAATCCGTGAATCGGGAAACCAAACTGAATCACAACGAATAAACCGTAAAAAAAACTGTCAACTTTGGTCAAAGAACTAAACCGGGCACAGTTGTTCTAACAAGTATATTGTGTCAATAGCACCAACTGCTGAGTCAATTTAGAAATATGAAATGATAGTAAGTGGTCGTATGGTTTAGGTCACATAGATTGAATGTTAGCGCCACTAGCACCAAATAGATCGATTAATTGCGATACAAACATGTAAAGAAATAGGTCCAAGATAAAACAAAAGGAAAATTTTATTTGAACGCATATAACCTCACTCTACACCCAACTTAAATTTAAAATGTGAATGATCAGTTTTACCCTATTGTATAATTACCATAAAACACAAGATGAAATCAGAAATGAAACTAAAATTTATCAATAAACCCACTAATCAATATACTCACCTCCGGTTCCAATGACAACGGAGAGCCTAAGTTAATTATTATTACTAGTTTATGCGTATGCATAAAATGCTTTTGAGTCTTCTAATTCATGCAGATTTGAATTACTGTGGCTAAAACCCAAGTGATGCCTAAGAATATGGATTTACAGATTACAATTCCACCACCCAATACACCTAATCTTAAAACCGAGGAAAAAACTTGAGATTAAAGCATTTGAAAAACGCTACTGCATTTGTTTATGAAGCGGCAATGGGATAAAAACAATGGGAATGCAATTCAGATAAAGCACACAAGGATTAAAACCAACTCGATTTATATTGTAAGAGAAATAAACATATTGGTTTAACATTTCAATCTCAAATAAGCACAAAAACACCATAACATATGAGTTAATTACTTCATTTAATCTTGCCTGCTCACATCACTTCCCGGTTCTAGATTGCTTGTTTGACCAATTCATCAAACACGACTCCATATATGTATGGACATTACACTCTTAATCAACGAGTTGTGGAAAACAAGTTGTAGAACATTGATTTTGGATTTTTATTTTTAAAATGGGTGTAAAGATAAATTTGCATATTATATTAGGTTTGTGAGGGTAGTTTAGGTAGTAAAATTGGGTTTAAAGAGATATTGATAATTTAATTAAAAACTATATGGGTGTAAATAATAAGTTAGGTTTAGAAAGAGGTTATATGAGTTCAAATAAAATTTCCCAAAACAAAATTGAAGACATCATAATAGTCAGTTCAATCAGTTACTTTCAATTCAAACAAACACAATCCAACAATCAAACAAAAATAAAGAACACTACAATATTGGTCAAAACACCATACTTCTAAAAGAATACATGTTATTAAACTTACTTTTCAAAACGTTATGTTTATAAACAACTAATTATGTTGATGCACAAAATCGAGTTGTTAAGGGTAGGAGGGAGAAGCAACTTGCATGGAAGGTAGAATAAGTATCGAAGGGTATCAGTGTGGTACCGACCTAAGAGCCTTCGATGCTTGAGTTAGCAATATGTGTTTAAAACACCATGTGGCAGAGTTTAATGGTAAATATAGTTTTGAATAGTAATAACAATTACCTTTAGAAGGAAGTAGAGATTACCATTTTAAAAAGGCAAGTTGGTGGAACTTTTTTGACTTTTCCAATGTGGGTTTGAATGTAGCTAATATAATGTTGTCACTTGTCGCATATGATTAGTTATGGGAATAGTTAAAGGGTACATGACTGTTGCGTGTTGTGGCTGGCTCCCACTTGTTGCGGGGTTGGTTCATGTGCTTCGGCAAGAATGCCTTAGTAGGAGACACTTCGGTGCATTCATGGTGCTTCATAATTGACAGGTACTTGATGGTTTTGTGGTTGATATGATATGGTGCAAACAAACCCTAATTAATCCTTATAGGAAATAAACCAAATCCTATCTACAAGAAAACCCTAAGACATAAACTCTTACCAATTAAATACACACTTTTACTTCCTTATGATCCAAACAATCAAGGTTGAGTTGAGTTCATACGTAAGTGTTTATATATATTGTCAACAACATTAATTAAATTACATTTGTATTGATTAGCACGATATAGATATATATATATATATATATATATGTATATATGTGTATGTATAAGGAGGGTAGGTAGGCCGGGGAAACTCAAGCAACAACGAAGAGAAAAGGCCCGATTGAATATCTTCTTACCAATGCCCCACTGAATCAATCTGATCCTGTTGTGGCTGAAACTGTTTTTGAATTGAACTTGGGGAGAAAGGCAAAGAAAAGGCCTGATGATGATCAGCCATGAATGACGGCTGAGATATGACATTCGTCGTCGAAGAATATACACTGCTACTACTATTATTATCGTAAGGTAGTAAAGTTTGGTTGTGATGATCGTGTTGATCTGGTTGTTGTTGTTGCTGGTGCAGCCTTTGCTCCGATCTTTGTTGCTTTGGAACGTTTAGCTTTTCTCCTTCGAGATCTCTATATTTATGGAGGTACGATTTTAATGGATGTACATAATCCTCGAACCCGAGCGTTGTGATAGCCCAAATGATGTCCTCGCCGTTGATGGTCTTGCGCTTTTCTCTTTGGCATTTGTCGGATGCTTCTCCTGTAACGAAGCTGATGAACTCGGAGACGCATTCTTGGACAGTTTCCTTTGCATCTTTTGAGATTTTTCCGTTGCCCGGAATCACTTTCTTCATAATGCGACCGACGTTGGCGATGGGAAGGAACCTATCTTGTTCTTTGTTGTGGTGGTTGTGGTGTTGGTGATTGTTGTTGTTGTTACTAGCACTTGCACATGCAGTAGCAGTAGTACTGCTCTTTAAACTGCATGGGGTTTCTGGGCTTCCTCCTCCTCCACTTGGCACATATAGCCTCTCATCATCCGTTTCCCTTTTCATATTAGTGATTGATTGGTGAGAGAGAGAGAGATAGAGAGAGAGAGAGAGAGAGAGCTTTTGGAGGATTTTGGTTTTTGAATGGGCTAAAACAAAACAAAGGAAAAAAGAGCGCAGAAAAATAGAAAGAAAAAAGGAGAAACAAAACAAAGGAAAAAAGAGGGCAGAAAAATAGGCAGGTGAAGAGGGAGTGTTAGCTTTGGTTGATTTTGAGCAATTAAAAATCCCAGGGACTCGCTCTATCTCCCCGGAGTCAACATCTGCTAATTAACTGTCTTCACCTAATCTAAGCAACCCTTTCCCCTCAATAAATTTCACTCCCTAATTACGTGGCAGAGTCTTGTTCTCTTGGTCACTCGGTGATTAAAAATTTATAATCATCCGTCCTTAAATTTGATTGAAATTGATATCAAAGATCAAAATTAAAACCTTAAAAACATTTTTCGATCATCAGATGGGTGACTAGTCAATAAGTGACCATAAAAACATTTATGTTGCGAGGCATTTCCCATTGCTACAAGGTTTCACCTCTGAATTTTGTTTTTTTTAACACTATAAAATGGCTCTCACGTCAACTTGACCACCATCTAGTTTTGTCTTGCAGATAAGACTCTAATTCAATTTCCGACACCCACTAGGGTCTAGACACAAGGAATTATAAGGGCATCGATCACACGGTATATCAAGCTTAAAATGCTAGCTCCTATCCTAGCAAGTCATGCTCTTACATTTATTTATTTTTATAAATAAAACGAAAAGTAAAGTTGAGCTTAGAACTTCTAACTTTTATTTTCATAAAATAAATTATGAACCAATCATATTATGGGAAAACATACTAGGATTAATTACTAATTATGTACCCGTATCACTAAATAAAAGAGGCTGAGAGTACCTCTGAGTAGAGAAATTTTTCAATAAGCTGAAAACATTGCTCGATACATCAAATGTCATAACACAATGGTTTGATTTTTTTTTGTTTTTTTTAATTTCAACCAATATACCCAATCTACTGACCGTGTTCCCGGCACTTAAAAATCTCTCCTCCAAGAAGAGCAAAAGCACTGCACAACAATAGAATCGAAATCCTCAGATATTACATAAACCAATAGTTTGGTTTTTCTTCCATCAATAACCAGTACGGTAATATTACAGTGGAATTCCAAACACCGATCTCCCGACAACGAAAACAAAATATTGTAAACAAAAAAAATGAACAGACTACAAGCCCTAACTAAAACGAAACAAAAGGCTAATATAACCATGAATTTCAATTAGCAACCAAAACAAAATATAAATGGGTAACTATTATATCCTCAGCAACGCCAGCAGCCACTGCCGACCACCACGACTTCCGACCACCACGCTTAAGCAATTGCAAACTTGAGTGTCTCCGACTCTTTGGGCCGCCACATGGACTTCTGCACACAAAGCAATCCCTCCTTGTCCTTCGAATACGTCAGGCTAACCTCCCACTGCATCGACCTCGCCATGTTCTCCAGCTCGTAAATAGTCTCAACATCGTCTCGCACGATAAGCTTTCCCTCTGGTCGAAGGATTCGATCAACCTCCGCAACTACAGCCACTAAATTGCACCTGTCATTCATAAGCCATTCCAAAGTTAGACAGCGAAATGAATTGGTGAATGAAATAACAAATGCTTTGCCGCGGACAGAGAATCTGAGAAATGGAATAGTATGCATACCTCTTCTTAAGCTTGGAAAACAGATGGTCGGCATGGAGAAGATCATAAGACCTTGGATAGGTGTTAAATGACTCACACCAATCATGATACATACCAAACAAACCTCGCTCGTAAATTATGGGTAGTGTGTCTGGAGAGTCTACCGAGACCACATTCATGACCCAAATTTTCAAATCTTTCAAAGCGGCAGCAAATCTGCAAGCACAACCAGAAGTCACAGGTAAAAAAAGTAAAGAAGCAGCCGCCTCTAACTCAACATCTCACTTGTACATATTCTTTGGCAAGGTCAAGAAAAATAATAAAGATAAACAGTAAAGCACAAATTATAACAAAGATGGTGGTTTTCCATGCATCAAAACACACTATTCATGACAATCAAGGAACGATTTTTCTTACCCTCCGTACACAGCTCTCATGTCCATAACATTCCGAACAGATGTCCAGTTAATCCCCATTCCATTCAGGTATGACTTTGTCACCACATGTTTCCAGTGCTCATTGTCTGCAGTGAAATCCTCAGGAGCAGGTTTTCCATAAACACCAACTTGGGAACTTAACAACCAGTAAGGTGCCTTGTCCAACCTCGCCGGCCATTGTTCAGGCCATTCAGACCCACGTTTTGTTGCATTAACAGGCACTTTGTGGATGCATGATTGTAATGGCACATTCCTGTACACAACAAAAATTAAGATTAGGGTAGCTATTGAGCTTAGATTAAAGTTATCTCTGGGTTCGCATCAAACAAATTTTGGCAAGAGTGACACAATTGCCATTTCTATGAGGTTTTAGTTTTGCTTTTCCAAACGCATCATAATATGTTATTTTCACATGGTTTTAGAACTACAGTATACAGAAACAATGTCCTTTCTCCTCCAAGTTCAGCAATCTCATTAAGCGAGAAACAGACTTAGTAATTCAACCAGAAATACTTTAGGCAACTAAATCAAAGGTCTGGAGAGAAAAATTGTTTCACTAGATTCATTAAACTAAAAGAGAAAGAAAAGGTTCAGCTGAATATAATGTGTACCAGGCAGCATTTGGATCATCAGACTTAGCACAGATAGGAGGCTCGTTCTGTGATCTTTTCTCATAGCACTCATTTGAAGTAGGCTTTTTGTATATAGCAATACCAACTCCATTTACTGTATCCTTAGTAATTGACACCAGTTCCCAGCATATTGATTTGGTTAGTTCCTTCATGGCTGCAGATAATTCCCATAAATTTTTAGACTTGTTAGCATTAATCAAACAACTCCAATTCAAAAGTTCCAAAGACATGGTTTCAAATTATGTACCATTCCATATTTCAACATCTTCACCCAGCTTCTTATACACTGGAGTAGCAGACCATACAAAGAAACCACCAGGTCTCAACACTCGGTTCAGCTCCAACAGAAGCTTACCACCTGCACATCATGTTTATTGGTGAATATCCAAACGAAAAGAAATAACCAAATAAGTTTCCTATGCTTACTATGTCAGAAAAGACTGGCTCAAGATCTAGGGGCTTCTTTGGTGTGTCAGTTCAGAAACAGCTTTCTATCAATAAAATCATGAACGAGTGCAAAATATGCAGCACAATTTGAAAACTGCTCAAAGAAGAAAACAAGCTTGAAAACAAAATAAGCCATAAACTGAAAATCTCTTTCCAGTTATCAACTTAGAAGTTATAATATAGAAAACTGAAAATTATCGTTTTCCAGTTATCAACCTAAACCCTAAACTAGGCATGACAGTTATCGAAAACTCAGCCAAACAACCCCCTGATTTCACACATAAGGAAACTGCATTTTTAAACAACAATCTCAGCTTGATCTCATATCACACTGTAAATCAATTCACAAGGACTACCTTCTATATGCCAAGGAACCCTGCAGCGGGCACAGTGGACAACATCAAAAACTTGGCCGGGGAAGGGAAGTCTCTTTGTGCCCATCACAGCAGATATGGCAGGAATTCCTCTTTCAAGTGCAAACTGCACTTGAGCTTCATGCTCATCTTTTGGGGCCAATGACATTGCAAGGACATCTCTGTCAAAAAGAAAGCCTCCAAAGCTTGCAACTCCGCATCCAACATCTAATATGACACGTGAACGTTTTCCCCAGGCAATATCAGGAACAGACTGCAAGAGAAGAGAACCCAAGTTAGTGTAATTTTGATGAGCAGTAACACGAAAGATGTGTCTTTTCTAGTTTTTTTTCCTACTGGTAAATCACATCCAAAACTCGTGAAATTCATATGTTGCCAAGATATGTCACCCTGCAGATGAAATTCCTGCCTAGGTCTTAAAAAGATATTCTTTAGAACTCTGCATATCTAACCAGAGCGTCATATATACTGTAACAAGAAACACAGAAATCCATATACTTCATCATAAATGCATAGGTATTAATACGATATAGATGCAGCAAGATTGACATATTCTCCAAAGCATGAGCTGATTAAAAATATTAGGGAGAGGGAGAAGACAAGGATTGAATGCACACACTGAGACATCTGAAGAAAAACGTACATACATATTTACGGAGAGAACAAACCAACATGCAAAGTCATACAAGTGGAATGTATTTGAAACAACCAAATGCTTAAAAGTATTCACCTGTTGTATGAAATCAATATAATGAAGAGCACCATGCTTGAATTGTGTTCCACCACCGGGAAAAGTGAGGTATTCACCGGTAACTTTGACCCAATTCTGATGCCCCTTAATTTGAACAAGCTTTGTATGGGGAACATTGTAGTACCATACCTGCAAGAATGCACCTTATCAATCTATCTCAGAAACGACAGAAACAATGTGGTAATGAATTTATACATCGACTAAGTTATATACCTTTTCCCTGCTTGTTGGCCACTCAATTGGGCGTCTATAACCTTCTGGAAGAGGAACAAGGCAGCTGGGGGCCTCCTCGGGACAATGCCTCTCCCGGTGTTCGTAATGCTTGGTACTTCGAAGACTCTTGATGGCTTGCAAATTGTCAAGGCAGGGGATGAAATCAGGCCCAGCAGTGGAATTGCAGACTTTCCAGTTGTAACTGGTCTTCTGATCAGAAGCACGCTGAGCCTCCTTCTCATTCTTTGACTCTGCCGACTGAGTTGACCACGAACTATTTTGAGTTGTAGTCTCGTTCAATAGCTCCGACTGAGCAACGGAAGGAAATACCTCATTTGAACTCTGGTTTTTGGCCTGCTCATTTTCCTTTTTCTCCCCATTTGACTCCTTGGTATCAGTTACCTCCACTTTCTCACTGTCATCATCCGATTTCTTCTCATTATCACCGGAATCAGACTTGTCCTTTTCGCCGCCATCGCTCTTTTTTTCTCCATTTTCGGAATTCAATTCTCCATTCTCCACCTTAGAGTCGCCATCTTCAGATTTCTCCTCAATCTTTTCTTCACTTTTCTCCTCAATCTTTTCTTCACTTTTCTCCTCAGTCTTGTCTTGGGTTTTCTCCTCAGGTGTCTCCTGAGTCTTTTCCACAGACTTCTCCTCAGTCGTCTCTTCGGACTTCCCTTGTAGCTTGTCTCCACCCTGAGCAGCACCATCGCTGCTGTCTCCTTTGGTTGCGTCGTCGGGTAAGTCACCCGGGTTATCTTCAAATTGCCTGGCATTGGTGTCACTCGCTTGTTCCTTGACGCCGACGTTATTGCTGCCCTGCTCCTTGAGTTCACTCTTACTCTCCTCCGTGGGCACATCCACATTCTGAATGGGAACTACAGAGGAGGAGGTCATCATCCAAACCCCGACCAAGCACAACGCCACAAACACCCCAACGGTGACGGTGGAGCAGCAACCACTAGCGGAGGACGGCCTCCTATTATCTACTCTAGTATATTTTCCCCCTGTCGCCATGTTCGACCCAGAAGCAGATCACAGACCCGATTGTTCTCAAATAATCTACACCTGAAAACCGAAACAACAGATCCGGCAAAGGATCTGTAACAATTAACAGGGAACGAACTAGAAATGGAAAACAAGGGAGGGAAACAGATTTCTAAAAACGGAAAAGACCCAATAACCCAAAATAACCTAATACCGGTTGAGAACGACAAACAAACTAGCAATGGCAGAGTAGATCCGAACCCGGATCCGAAATGTTGAAATCTGAGCTGACGATTTTCAAATATTTTGGATTGGAGGCAAGTAGGTACCTTGTTTGCTTCTTTGTTTGGTTGCTTGGGCAGATCTGATACCTCTGCGTTGCTGTTGAGGGATTATTCCAGCATTCTCCGATCTCCAAACACCTCCAATTAGAAAAGAAAGAAACAGAAAGGAAAGGAAAAGAAAAGACAAGAAACCAAGAGAAAAGAAAAGCAGAAAGATTTCCTGTAGACGAGAGAGGGTGGAGAACGCGGAAGAACGCCAACCCCGAGAGAGAGAGATATCCTTCTAAATTCTACCAATCCTTGGCCCGATTATTTTAGTTTTTCTATTGAAAGTATGGAGAGAATTCTAGTACCCTACAACAAAACAAAGAAGGTGGGCCAAGACAAAGTAATTAGATTCAACAAAATTTGTTAACAGTCTGCGTCGGTAAAAAAATGACGACGACTATTATAACGATGACATCGTTTTATGGCGATTATTTTACACTAACAAATATATAAAAATACAGAGAGAAAAGAGATCAAGAATAATTGTTAAAATTGTCGCCGATTCCAAAGCCAATAACTTAGAATATCATGAAATTCTTATGTGTATAAATTTAAATGAGCAATAATTTAAGGAAATTGTTATTAATACTTCAAAATTCGAAGAAAAATACAATTGCAAGGAGTGCCAAATAAAATTTTTTTGAAATGCTAATAATAATTCTTTTAATTTAGTCGTCAAATTTACTTCAAATTGAAATGATTATATTGGATTGAAATTTGAAAAGTTTTATTGAGGCTTGGGGTTTACTTAACTTAATGCTTAAATTACGGACTAATGCCAGACGTCAATTGGTTTGGTGGATTATCAATATCGCAGTCAATGCAAGGAAAGGGGTGCAAATGGAACCGTGGTGGCTTATTGGGTGGAAAACCATTATACTAAACCCAAGTCGTTGTCATATAATCAACGTACACTCTTTTTTTTAATGCGATTTGTGAATATGAAAGTCTAAACCATCGGACTTAGTCCAAAATCCAAGATCAAGACAGAAAGATCAAGACAGAGATTTCTAGAGAGAGACAATGTGTGTTAACTAAGAGTTTTAAGATAGTCCAAAATATTTGATTTCCTCTCATGTAATCGGGAAAAAAAAAAGAATTTTAACGAAAAACTTTTAGTATTGTTCATTTTAACGAAAAATTACATTTTTACCTTAAAAATTCAATCCTGATATTATTCACTTTACCCTTTATTTTGTCCTTATCGTTAAAACTCCAAGTTTTCAAGTCTTTTTCATTAGTTTTTCTAAAAAAAATGACATGCAGTTAGAATTTTGAGTACAAAGATATTAAATTTGTCTAAACTTTATTTAAACAACAATACAGAAAACAAAACACATTATTATATACAACTCGGTTAAACTCAAATTTGCGAATTATGTTTGCTTTGCATTGTTGTCATGATTTGTTTTATTAGTGCAATTTACTATTTTCATAATATGAAAATTTTGAGCTATATGATTAATGATTAAACAAATTTTAACAAAAGGTTAATAAGCTTTGAGAGTAGTCACTTTATAGTTCAAATATAAAAATTGATGTATTATCACACTTAATACTACGATTTAGTGATATTTTTTCATTTATAACTAATAGGTTTTAGGTTGTGGTTAGCCCATTATAAGAGATCTTAGTTCGATTTTTAGCAAAAACAATTACAAATCATATTATTGTGGTTAGCCTATTATGAAGCATGTCTCACCTTTTAATATAAATAAGGTCGTATATATTAAGAAAATGGGTTTTATTATAAATGATCCTTGAAATTAACCCTCACCATCAAGATGGTTTTTAAAATTGAAAATCAATTAATGTAGTCCCTAAAAATAGGTGTCGCAAATCAATGTGGTCATTCCGTCACAATAATGTTAAAAAATCAGTTAAATGCTGATGTGGCACATAAATGGGCCTCATAAGTCCTTTTTTTCCTCACAAATAATCCTTGAAATTAACCCATGACATCAAAATTATCACGCCCTAATCCGCGAATAAAGACTATTCACAAATTAAGGTGTGAGTCATCTCTTGGTTATAAAAATAAATTATACAACCAATATATGGTGGAAAAATTTGGTGCTGATTACTCAATACATCCTATAACACTAGTTAACAACTTTTACATATTAAACGTTTGAGTTTACTACAAAAAATTTATTGAATACACAGTGGAAATAACTATAGTGTACAAATTAATTCACAACAAAAACTACAATAATTAAATTCTTTCAAATGCATATATGCAAGTGAGATGCATAAATGTACTCACTCCCTTCTAATCCCGCTAACACATACCTAAGGCACCCAAGCATGCACGTCCCGTATCTTGGTTATACCACTTGGCTCCGAATACCTTAGAATATGAGTTAACTCCCGTTCATCCCTTAACCCAATTTTTGCAACTAAACTCTCTGTTTCCACTTTATTATACATGCACTTCCCCCGACACCCAATTGTATATTCAAGCCATTCCCCCGATGCCTGACATATACAAGATTTCATTATTTTATATTCAAGGCAAACTTCAGCCTTTGAATAACTTCACAACACAAACACTTTACACAAGTGAGCACATGACACAACACATGTATATTACTGATAAACTAATGAAATCTTGTATATGCAACGTAATATAGATATCAATAATCACGTTCTATAATATAATATGCAAAACTAATCAAAATAGATAGTAGTCAAAATTTTAGTATATTACGGATAATATAGTATTGATAACACATAACAATCTGATTGCGAAATATTACTTTACCATTTTACTCCATCTCTCTCTAGGTGATATTGATACATGACTCCATCTGAGTTCCATATAGCAATTTTGTTGGGTAAGCTCTCATGCATTTTATGGGATTTGTCCCCCTTATTTTTTATGATTTAGTGTGAGTGCTCTCATAACAATGACCTCAAAATGTAAATGCATAAACAACACAAGATTTAAGTGGCTCGCCAAATCGACTACATCCACTGGGGTTTGCTTTCATTGTATTTCACTATATATGAGAAACTTACAAATACAATGAAAGATGGCTTAAAGCCTCAACAATATGTAAAAGAAAAATAAAGAGGTAATATGAAAGGGAGGATGACTTTTTGTTGGAGTTGTTATTTTTCTTTCTTTTTTTTCTTCTTCTTCCTTTATTTTCTCCATGTCCTCCGTTGGTTCTTGCTCCTTCCCTTATAAAGATTGCATGACATCTTCCTCTCCAAAAACCTCCACAAGTGTGCCAATAGAAAGAAATCAAGTGTCGTGCCCATCATTAGACATAAAATGAGTTCCGATAACAAATCAACAATTGTTGTCGTAATCATTAAGAATGAAATGTGGTCCAATAGAAAAACAACAAATGTTAAGCTAATCATGAACTAATGAATATCATGCAAGATGTTCCTTACATCAAAGGCCACATGAAATGTTCTAACCCCAATAAGTTGTCATCTTCCTCTATTTAGGGTGGTGAATATCATCCTAACGATTAAGATTCCTATAGATTGATGAGTAAGCACTTCTAATACAAAGTGTTGTCATCTACATGCAAATAGACTAACATACACATGCTATAGACTCCACCTCTTCACCCTAATTATTAGCTTCTATTAATTACTAACTTCCACCCATTATTTGGAGAAAAAATCAAGCTAACTCTACTAGAAATTTCCCACCTCTCGGAGCTTAGCTCTCCAACACTTTTACACTTCACTAATTAAAGATCCAAATGGCTAGCAAGGGTAACTTAGTTGCTATTGGCACAAAAAGGGTAAGTAGAAACCTTAAAAAATCAAACTAATGCATATATACATATAAGATACACAATTACTAGACAAAGTTACAAAATTATTATGAGGATGCCAAAAAAATAGAAACCTCTCTAGTTGGAGACATTTGAGTATAAAAGTATTAGCTAGGCACAAAAATAATTTTTTGTAGTGAAAGAATCCCTACTAACTTACATGCCAAAAATACAAGTTTTTTGTACTCATAGTACATATAAAGAAACTCAATAAAATCATTGCATAAAAATAGTTACTTATGCACACACATATATACTGTCATTTTTTATATATGGGGTATTACAAAAATAGTCCCTGAAATTAACCCGCGACATCAAAATGGTTATTGAAATTGAAAATTGATCAATGTAGTCCCTCAAATAAATGTTTCAAATCAATGTAGTCATTCCGTCACAATTCTTTCAAAAATTATGTTATGTGCTAATGTGACACATAAATGGGTCACACAAGTCTAATTAAATTAAAAAAAATTACAAATAGGCTTAATAATTTAATAATTAATAAAAAAATTGTCAACACAAAAACCCAGTCTTGCAATCACCTCCAATCCCAATCCATATTTCTATACCTCATTCACTCTATGTTATCTAAAAATAAATCTCAATACATTTATCTTTACACACTTCGACACCTTTTACCGAATTGAACCTAGATCGAGATTACCGTTAACATATAGGCGATCAACATCCTCACAACCTTAATCTTGGAGAGCTTGTTCGGCACTTCCCTGGTGGTCTGGTGATGCAAAGAACGACAAGGTTTGCCTTGAGATAATGAGGTTATAACCGAGGTGTGTCTATTGTTGGTTGAAAATTATTTCAACACCCCTTCTTAGGCCTTGGTTAAGCCTTGTGCTTTTGATAATTTATGGAAGAGAGCTCTATTCGGAGTAGGCCCTACTATAAGAAAAAAAAAATTCCATTGTGCAAAAAGGTATTTAGACAAATTTTTTTAATTAATTATTAAACTCAGATTAACACATAACAAATTGTTTTACATAATTGTGGTGGAAGAATCATATTGATTTGAAACACCTATTTTCAAGGACTACATTTATTGATTTTCAATTTCATGGACCATATTAATGGTGTGGGTCAATTTCATGGACTATCTTGATGGTGTGGGTCAAATTCAGGGACCATTTGTGAAAAAAATCTATAAATCTTATGGGATTCATTTATGTGCCACATTAGCATTTAACGAATTTTTTAACAGAATTGTAACGGATGAACCATATTGATTTTGCGACACCTATTTTCAGGAACTATATTTACTGATTTTTAATTTTAAGAATCATCTTATTGGTGAAAGTCAATTTCAATGACTATTTAGGATAAAAACCCTTAAAACGATACATTTGGTTTTTCTCCTAACAATTTAAAACAACAGATTGGTCCAACCATCCAAGACTGAAAGTTGCATTTCCCAATCTAACGAATGATGACGGAGGAGGAGATGAGTGGGATTCCACTAATGTGTCGGTGTAATTTTTTTTTATGGAAAATAAAATTATTCTCATGACGAATACGACATGCTACGTGCACCGATAAATACAATTTGATTTTTGTATGCTATTTTCTCATCTGTACCGACGTACAAGCCAATATAGTAACATTATTATATAGTCATAAAGTTGCGATCAAACAATTTTATTATTAATGAATGTTGTATTTTTTAAATACGTTTCCTTAAGTATTAAGTATTATATTTCTTACACATATGTACTGCAAGTTTAAAGACGTGAAATTAGCTCTATAAACTAAAGCATTGTCTCAAACAAGTAAAAATATTTCCGTTCATCTAAAACTTTTTTTTTGTAATATAATTTTGTACTCATTGACAATTATTACTATGTAGAGGCGTACTTTTTAAGAGGGGACCAAGAAAAGTTATGACGTACACAATGTAGAGAGTTTATTCTTATGCATTACTAGTCTCAAGTTGAGACCATAATTTTTTTTAAAAGAGGGACAACTGGTGGTAAACCACGGTTATCCACCTATTTCAGGGGCCGAGAAAACTCACAGAAACATTTCAACCTTCCCCTGGACACAAGTCTGAGCATTACTTTAGAGAGGTTTTTACTGTATGTTACACGTTATAAGTGATAAGAAGATATACATTTCAATGTCCCTCTATTTGTATTACAATTTACAACATGTGTACCGAGTCTTGTTCTGGACACAATAAAAAATTCTTCCAAACTTTTGTAACAAAAAAAAGTGAATTTTTCAAGACTTCATGAGCGTAAATTGGACTTAGATTTTTTAGCACTCTATACTAAAAAAGAGGAGTACATAAATAATTTTATCTTGTTTAATGTGATTTTATGTTATATACATTCGTAAACTTACTTATATACTAGAAATTAATTAGACGTATACACAAATAAATGGTAAAAATTCAGAAAAAAATCATTGATCCGCTGGTACATATAAGTTTAAAAACTTCTAAATTCTTATAAAATGTAGGAAATCCGAATTATATTCCAAAACATTCGGACATAAATATGCATCCCCATATTCTTATTGCATGGCTTTTTGTATATGAGTCCGTTAGATTTTTTAAGGTATATAATCGTCATGAATTTATTAATTTGACTTCTTGTTTGAGTTTTTCTTTTTTCAAAGTTTAATTTATTAATTTGACTTGAAAATTGAATAATTCTAACCCACTTAGTGAGAATATTTTTTTTAGTGACACTTTGGATGTGGTCTCTAAATTATTTGACTGAAACCTTAGTGGTTTAGTTTTTTATCGAAGTCTCTGACATTAATGCAATAATGTATTTTTATGTTAGTTATTATATTTTAAAATTAAAAATAAAATTTGTAATTATTTATATTAATGAGATTTTAAATAAAACCCATAATTTATGGGATTAAAAATATTAAAAATGAATTATACTTGTAGACATCGAAATTTCGGTAAATAAATGTTGACCAATAAATCAAAGTGTCAACGCTCATGTATTACATAAATTTTACACGTAGCGTGTGACTCAACGAAAATTGAAATGAGTTGGAAAAGTCATCAAATAGGACACGTGTCAACACCTGGCAGAAACGACTTATTTCATCTGGAATATTATATTCGAAATTAGACCTTGGAAAATTCTATAAATACAAGCCTATTTCATTCATTGAAAGGGGACCAATTCATATTAGACCTTGAAGCTCTGAAGCTCTGAAACTCCGAAGCTCTCAAGCATCCAGGTTTCCGAAGAATCAAGAAACCCCTTTTCGTTCTTCATCAAATCCACCTTCAAGATCAAGCCCCGACGGCCCTTGAAGAAAGTGTTCTTCGTTCTTCGTTCATCGTTCATCGTTCTTCCAAGATCAAGCCCCGACGGCCCTTGGATCAACCATCCACCAATTCAAGATCAAGCCCCGACGGCCCTTGAAGAAAGCAGCATCGTTCATCATCCGTTCATCCAAGATCAAGCCCCAACGGCCTTTTGGATTAACAACGTCGACAAATCCACACATCCAACCGTTCTTCAAGATCAAGCCCAAAAGCCCTTGAAGATCCGTTCATCACTGTTCTTCAAGATCAAGCCCAAAAGCCCTTGGAGATCCGTTCATCACTGTTCTTCAAAGATCAAGCCCAAAAGCCCCTTTGAAGATCCGCTCAAATCCACCTTCAAGATCAAGTCCACGGCCCTTGAAGAACGTTCATCCTTAGATCAAGCCCAACGGCCCTTTGGATCAATCACACATCCTCAAATACACACCTTACGGAGATCGAATCAGAGGATCAAAATAGAGAGAGATTGTAACCCAAAATCCTCTAAATACAAATATTTGTTTGTGCACGTTGTTCTTGTCTCTTTCGTTTCAGGAATTTTCCGTGTTTACAATACTCTTCAATATATTGTGTGCGTACACACACACACGAGTACGTTCATCAAAACTAACAAAAAATTTATTGTACCAAAGTATGGGTACATTTTTCAAAAGCACAAAAAAAGAAAGATATAAGACTGAATAACATTATTAATTTTCTTCTATTAAACTTGACATGAATACATTCTCAAATCAACAAAATAGAATGTACCTATATAAGTTTAAAAAATAGATTAGATAAAAGATTGAATGAAATTTTATATAAAAAATGGGTATTTAAATTTAAAAAGGGTACATTTTTAATAAATTGGTATATCTAAGAATGAATACATACAAGATTAAAAAATTATTATTTTTATAAAAATTTAATAGGTACAAACTTATTCTAATTTTATTTTTTATATTTGGGAAATGTTTGAATTCAAAATTATTTAGAGTTTAATAAGGGTGTAGTATTAAAACTATAAATCAATTACTATTTTTTTTTCATAAAAATTATGTAACTTACATGTAATTCATTAATATATTAATATTGGGACTTTGATCAAAATTCTCTCAATCGGACTAAGTCAGACTCATTGACGATTGGTATGATAGCAGATGATGTACTGCATCTGGCTTCCACTTTCCCTGTGGTGAGGTTTATTCATGCCTCTAGTTTATGTAATGGTGTTGCACACCGGCTTGCTAAGTTTGTTTTGTCTAGTAGCAATAATTTAGTTTGGTTTGAGGAGCCTCCTATTCTTATTCAGGAGCTTCTATTCTAAGATATTTGTAACTCTTTATAAGTTTGATTAATGAATACATTGCTTCCAATTAAAAAATAAAAAAAGATAAGGTCTTCATCAATAAATATAAGAAATTAGAGACCGAAAACTAATTATTCATTTATTTCTTATGATCATTGACTTAAATTGGATAATTATGTCCATTATCCTGGTTCAAACATCGCCATGAACACATAGCGAAACAAAAACCAAACAAGCAAATATAGCGAGATTTTCTTTAAAGATATGTAGCATTGAATTATCAATTACACGAAAAATAAATAAGTGATTGGAATAAAAATAAGGAAAACTAATGAAAAATGTTTGAAAACTTTGAGTTTTAACAATAATAAGAAAATAAAGGATAAAGTAAATAGTATCTTATTGACTTTTTAGTGTAAAAATGTGATTTTTCGTTAAAATGAACAGTATCAGAAGCTTTTTATGAGAACTTTAACGAAAAATTTCCGGTAATGTTCACTTTTAACGAAAACCCACATTTTTACACTAAAAAATTAATACTGATACTATTCACTTTATCATTTATTTTATCTTTACCGTTAAAATTCAAAATTTTCATTATTTTCCTTAAAATTATACAACTTGTGAAAAATCAATTCTAACGCGTAACTAAAGGATATGTATTATAACATTACACCTAAAGTGGCGCTAATTGGAATTATGGACAAATAATCCGTATCAATTTATTAAAAAAATATCCCGAAGTGTCTCCATCCATGTGCGGCGATCCCTTTCTTTTTCTTCAGTCATCTCTCTCTCTTTGATTGCTTTGCTCTTACATCTTCCCTTCCCCGTAAATCGTCTAAATTAATTAATTCACACTCTTCTCTTACCGCAATCGAATTTCCTTTGACGGTAGAGTGAGTGAGAGTCTGAGAGAGAGATAGCCGAGCTTTTCAATCGGAAGGAAAAGGTCGGTGGTGGTCTGCCGTGGCGATCTCTGTTGAATGGTAGTCGGTAGAGATGCTTCGCAGACTCACATTGCCTGCAAAAATAGCCTCAACCAGCACAACGAGGAGGTACTGATTCACCTATTTCCTTCTTTTTTTCTTTCCATTTTTCTAAAACCAAGTACTACGGACTTCTCTATCATGTTCAATTCCTTTTATTTTCGGTTTTCTGTTAATTACCTGTGCCAGTGGATCGTTACCTTAATCTGGGAAATTAAGGGTTCGATTTGGCTTCCGTTCCTCTAATTAGGGTTTGAATTTTCCATCTGTTCATCTCATATTTCGTTTATTGCTGTTACCTTTTGGTTTCATAGTGTGCATGCTGTGCCTCTCTGTATCTGTATCTATCTTTTCTTTTTTTGGACTATTTTATACAGGATTTTTTTTACCAAATATATGCTAATTAGTTAATTACTTTGTTAATTCATTCCCTCCAAAATTAATAAAATAAAACTTGGTTAATTAATTATTTTTCTGGGTTTTATTTCTTCCTGTGACTTTAATTCCCCTTCCCTCCAATTATTTATTTATTTCATTTTTCTCCATTTTCTGCATTGCGTGCAGCTGAACTCTCCTGTAATTAAACGATCAGACGCTTAAGGTTGATGGAGTTTAGCTGATTGCGTTCCGCTATCAAAACTTCGAGCAATTGCCTTTTGCTTATGAGATGAAAGGGGGATATAACTACAAATTGATTGGGAAACCAATCTCTTTCACTCTGGCTGCCCTTATATTCACAACAATATTACTTTGGGCGTGGGAGAAAAATCCTTTTGCTGATACTCTACTATTGCCGCGCCAGCGGTTTCCAATGCCTTCCATAGGTTTGTTTCCCCATCAATACATGTTATCTTTTCTCTTTTTTGTTACCAATCAAGTTTTTTATATTTTCTTGTACATTTATGCAACAAAATAACAAGATACGATTAAGGGTTAAAATGTGCATGAAAATTTGTTAGATATTACCTTAGAGAAAATGGTGAACAATGCTCTTGGGATTTGTAAATAGTTTAAGATGTATATTACCCCTGATCTTTTAATTGGACAAATATCTAGTTTAATGTTTGGGACAAGATTGCCTGCCGTATTATGTTAATACCATTGGTATTGTGCCTGCTATAGCATTCCAAATGTTTTTATGTGCCTACACTTTGTTCGAAACATGGACTTGGGTTCTCTTCTTTAATTTGAACATGAGTCCCCTGTGCCACGGCCTATTTGCCAAACTATAGTGGCATAGAAACTTATAACTTCATTTTTGTACAACATAGCTGCTCTCAAGAGGTCGCACTTGGTGCGATGGCAACTGCCTTCGTCCATGAGCGGTAGGTCTCGGGTTCGAGACTTGGGAGCAGCCTCTCCATAAATGGGGGTAAGGCTAGCCGACATTCACCTCTCCCAGACCCTGCGTAAAGCGGGAGCCTTGTGCACTGGGTACGACCTATTTGAAAATTTTTGGGAGCAGCCTCTTCATAAATGGGGGTAAGGCTAGCCGACATTCACCTCTCCCAGACCCTGCGTAAAGCGGGAGCCTTGTGCACTGGGTACGACGATAGCTGCTCTCAAGAACTGAATCTACTTGCCTAGTCCAGTCCTTCAAAATCCCATACTTTCCTGATAATGTGAGAAGGGAATGAAAAATTAATCTGATCTATCATCTAGTGATGTTTTTCAGTGATCACACCTTTAAATGATACCGCACCATTAAGAAAACAAGATGCCTTGTCTGCAGAAAGCTTAAAAAGTAGTTATAAGAAATGAGAAGGCAACTGTACCAAAACATTACCTATTTATATTGCCTATTTAAATTTTGATAATCTATGTAACTCCCCATACTAGCATCTTTTGCATTTCTATTGCTCTATTTTTTTTAAGGAGGAAACAATATTTTATTGCATATGACAATAAAATTACGCAAGAAAAGTGATGGCCATGAAGTACCTGAGTGCGGTTTTTAGTTTATTTCATCCATGATTCAGCTGTGATATATAATAATGAATGGCTGGACTGCACATGACATGATTGTTATAGTACTCTAGTGACTATTCTTTGGAGAAACTCACAGGTTTTTAGAAACTTATTTTCTGTACAAGTAAAATTGCCATAAGGATAAAATAAATGTCAAAAAGCTTGTTTATTATAGAAAAAAGTCAGAATTAGGATGGGATGATGGGTGAACTTTGGTGGCTATGCGGGATATGTAGATAACTATTGCTTGCATGAAAATATCACAAATTAGGGTGAGATGAAATAATGTTTTTCCTGTCTAGTTGGTCAGTGCTGAAGGAAAAGCCAAATGAAGATATGAGAATGACATGGTTCGTGGTTATTTGCTTACCAAACGACTCTTGAAAGCTATATTAATTGCTAACTTTCTTATCTGTTGAAGTAATTAGGATCTAAGGCTCACTAGTTGACCTCATTAGTAAATGCTAAAATGTTTGCTAAGTGTTTGAAAGCTGCTGTTTCAGCTATTTATCACTAGTTTTGCCTGCCTCTTCAGTCAGTGCTGAAAGGAGTTCAGTTTTGGTCAACCTTTTGGGCTTCTGTTTCTAAGGAGTTTAAGCACATCTCCTTTTCTCCTACATTGGCTTAACTGGCAGGCTGGAGTTCTTTAGTCTGGATGGCTGTGTCTAGTTTTAGTTTTTTGGTAACTTTTTTGTGTTTTTTTTTTAGTGTTGTTCTTGACCACTCATGTTCTTCCCTTGTTGTTTTACTGTCTTTTGAAATGATCTACTATCTTTGTCTTCAATGCTGAAAGGACTGACCTCATCTTATACCTGCTTCTTTGTCTGCCAGCTGATGAATGTTTTTCATTTTTTATTCAGATTTTTTTGGGGACTTCTCAAATAATTCCTCCAAACCTATGAAGACAAATGGAAATATTGAAGGGAAGGATTTACATTTGAATACGGCAGAAGATACAAAAGTAATAGAAAAGTTTGGCACAGCCCCAATAGATTCTATGTATGCATTCTCTCCTGGAATGCATGAAAGTAATGGGAATGCGACATCTTTCCAAACTAAAGGTATAGCTTCCTTTCTCATAGGGCTGTAAGCTTCATTATTGTTAACTTTTGTAGGTAATTACAGTAATCTTATTGTTCTATTGCTCATGGACTACACTATGCAATTGAGGGGTCCCATAGAATAGAATAGTACATTAAATCTGTCTCTCTGAATTGTATTTCTTGTTAAAAAAATAATTGTATACAGCATTGTTTGGCGGTCAGTTTACCATGATGATTTCACGCTAATAGCTCATTTGACATGGAATGATTGTTTTCTTATTGATGTTAGTTGAAAATTTAAATTCTAGGTGGTGTTTATGGAAACTGGTCAGGCTGAACCTAAATCTGGTTAGGCACATAACATTTACGTAAATATTATATACCTTGTCCTGTGGCAGCTAATGTCCTTGAAGATATATATTCTTTGCCTTGTTTGATTGTCTTACTGGTTGAATACATGCCAACCCTATTCCTTACCAGTTTGTGAATCAGTTTTATGGATTGATGATCCCCCAAAAGTGAAATAGTAATTTCTCCTTTCATATTCTTTTTTCTTTGTGCACAAAGTCGAGAGTAAACTTTTCTCTTCTTAATGACAACCAGTTCTTCAAAATATAAACTGGCTTTACTTTTAAAGTGGTAATCTGATATCTGATGAGGTCCTATGTTACCACAGTATGAGATCTGATTTGAGGTTTGGTACTGCATGATTAAAAGATGCTCTCTCTCTCTCTCTCTCTCTCTCTCTCTCTGTATGGAAAATGCTGCTACATTTAATTTTAACCAAATCAACTTTGGCGGAAGGAGGTCTTGGAGATATTATGAATGGAGACAAAAATCTGCTGCATTCGCTAATTTTAGAAAGGCAAAAAGAAAAACAAATAAATAGTTAAAAGATAGTACCATGTATTTCACGGACAAGTGAAAAAATGATTTCACACTTAACATATCATGTTATGGTGTAGAACGACATAAAGTTATGTCAAGCCATCAATTGCATAATACCTGTTGCTTATCGGATTGTTTCTATTGAAGAGAAGATTGAAGAATTTGTTTGATATGAAGGATCTAAGAAACACTTGAGTGAAAGTGTTCCGAACCAAATTTTAACCTAGCACTTTCTTGAACATCAGAATTCTCAGTTTTATGTCGCTTGAGTCGTTTACTCTTGCCATGCATTACTTGAGTCATTTACTCTTGTTTTGCATCACTTGAGTGGTTTACTCTTGTTTTCATCACTTCAGTGGTTTGCTCTTGTTTTGTGTCACTTGAGTCGTTGACTCTTATAAATTTTGACTCCCGTTGAATAATTCACTGCAATAGTAATGGCAGAGTTGTTCAATTAAACTATGTTGAAGTTCACATAAATATAAATACATTATGCATGTATTTTTTCACCGGAAAGTCTTATCCAACTATAGAGTTGTTTACGCTGTTTCTCTGCTATGTTGAAAGGTTTCCATTGCTCAGATTTATCATCTCATGCTTCATGGTTCAATGTTTCCTAAGCTTGTGGAGTTTTCACCTCTGCAGTGTGTAATTATGCCAAGGGTAGATGGGTTGCGGACAACAGGCGCCCTTTATATTCTGGGTTTAAATGTAAGCAGTGGTTATCAGAAATGTGGGCGTGTAGACTGACACAACGAACAGATTTTTCTTTTGAGGGTTACCGATGGAAGCCAGCAAATTGTGAAATACCAGATTTTGAACGCTCTGCATTCTTGAGAAGGTAATTCTTTTCTGTTTGAACTTATTTGAATTTTGATGTGAAGTTGCCAATTGCGGTCTTGTCATTCATTTGAAAGACAATTCCACTGGATGAGTAAACGCTTTGATTGTTTTTTCATTTTTTTATACTTGCATTTATGTTGGCTATCATTTTCCCAGGTATAGAACTCAGTCATTGTCTAATTAAGGGCTTCCTGCCTGGTTAACTCGTGAAAAGCTTCAACTTACTCTTCGATTTGTGTACATAATATTTTGGACTGAAACCATATAATTTTGCTTGGTTTCCACTAGAAGCACACCTAAACTTTTCAACTAGAAGTCTAGAATATTCCGAGTCGTGAATGAATCATCTCATACGATCTTACTTCTAAATCCTTTCAACAATATGGACCACTGTTCTCCCGAGTTTGAGATTTGGTGCAATACAGAGAAATGGTTTATCTTGCTGTGGTCAGTCTTCTAAATGTGAATGTGCCTTTCAGGATGCAGGACAAAACGATTGCTTTCATAGGAGATTCATTGGGTAGACAGCAGTTCCAGTCTTTGATGTGTATGGCAACTGGCGGGGAAGAAAGCCCCGAAGTTGAGAATGTCGGAAAGGAATATGGCCTTGTCAAACGTCGTGGAGCCATTCGTCCTGATGGCTGGGCCTATCGATTCTCTAACACCAATACCACTATCTTATATTATTGGTCAGCAAGCCTGTGTGATCTAGTGCCCCTTAACATCTCAGACCGAGCCAGTGATATTGCCATGCATTTGGATCGTCCCCCGGCTTTCTTGAGACAATACCTTCATCGGTTTGATGTGCTGGTTCTTAATACAGGGCATCATTGGAATAGGGGAAAGATTAATGGTAACCGGTGGGTAATGCATGTAAACGGAAAGCCCAATCAAGAAAAGATGCGTGCAGAAATTGGAAATGCTAAAAATTTTACTGTGTACAGTATTACCAGGTGGGTTGATTCACAACTACCATCACATCCCCGCCTAAAAGCTTTCTTTCGGACAATTTCACCGAGGCATTTCTTCAATGGTGACTGGAATACTGGGGGTACCTGCGACAATACTACTCCGTTGGTCGGAGGAAGTGAAGTAGTCCAGGAAGGATCCAGTGATTCAGTGATCGAGGGTGCTTTGAAAGGTACAAAAGTAAAGTTACTGGATATAACTGCCATTTCTCAATTGAGAGATGAAGGTCACATATCCCACTATACCATTAGAGGAAAAGGAAATGCAGGCACAAGTGATTGCTTACACTGGTGCTTACCTGGAATTCCAGATGCATGGAATGAACTCCTTGTTGCACAGATATAGGAGGCGGCGGCGGCCTTGCCACGTCGTATACACCAAATCCGATATTCTTCATGGTCTGATAAGAAGGCCAATTGTTTTATCCGGTATGAAATTCTTTTGTTTTGTAAGTTTCAGTGTTTGATAGAATATAAGGTAAGGCACCAATTGCGAATCCATTTCCTGTTGAATCGAATTCTAGTTGTTCATATAGGTGTTATTCATACAACGAAAAATGTTGTACTGTGTATTGTACCATTGCAGTAAGAGTTGCTGCTAATATAATGAGGAATTTTTTTCGATTCGTAGCAAGTTGGAACTAGTCGTGCATGTTTTGTTGTTTATGCAGCTTATGCTATTGGCACCTTGTTGCTTTTTATTCGTGGCAACTTTTCAAATGGATGTTATTACAATTGTTAGAGGATCTATGCATATTTTGCTTCTTAATTTTGTTGCTCCTTTGTGGCTAAAAAGTCATGGGTTTGAGTTGTGGAAACAACCTCTTTGCAAAGCTAAAGTAAGACTGTATACGATAGACGTCCATCTCCTAATCCTTGCAGGACAAGAAGACTTGTTAGCTTGGGATCGTTCCCTCATTTTTGTTTCTTATGAAGCGATATTTTCTTCTCGGGATGCTATCTCATCTCATCTCATCGCAAAGTACTAAATTCCAAAGACATGTGAATTGTGAACCGTCGTCCATATCACACTCGTGATCAGAGAGAAAAAGAAATATGGAGAGAGAGAGAGAGAGAGAGAGAGAGATATGGATGTGTGAGCACAAAATAATACAGTCATCATATATATATAATCATATAATTACTAGTTAAAGAAAAGGAGTTGCAGTGAGGGTTGGAGGAGTAGGTTTGAAGCCCCTTTGGGACTGGGAGCATCGACATCTACATCTAAGAATGACATAAGAAATAAACCTGTAAAACAAGACGAAGCAGACCATGACCACCACATTCCTCCACCGGCTCTCCTCCCCATACCCTTCATCTCTCAGAACTTCTTCTCCCGTCACCATACACCTCCCAAAGAAATACTCCAAGCACTTGTCCGACCCTGAGAACTCGTTTATCAGAAACCCTTCGAACGGATACTTGAACAGCGATATGTAGTGCATGAAAATCCAGTACCCGGGAATCTCATGATTGGAGATGAAGTAACCGGAGAACAGAAAGAAAGACCCCATGACACCGGCAATGACCGAGTTTCCCACGATGAAATTTGGCACGAGTGCACTGAAACACACCACCACGGAATTCGCAGTGTATAATATCAACCAGATCAACAGCAAGAAATGGAAGAAGGCCGTGAAGTTAGGGTTGAGTCCGACCAGCCAGTACAGTGGCAGAGTGAAAAGGACGGCTAGGATTAGTAGAAAGGGCAGGTAAACCAATCCGTTGGCGATGGCGTAAGACGAGACCCTGTAGCTTCCGCAACAAGTCTCCTTCATCAGAATCTCCCTCTCTTGAAGAAATATCGGCAGTGCTTCCGTCGTGCACGACAGCAAAAACGTTAAAATGAATGCGAATAGACCTACCCTTTCCTCGGCTCCGGTGAGATCGTCTTTGAGGTCGTAAAAGATGGAGCCTAGAACTAGTCCGGAGACGAGCATCTGAATTGTCCGGCATGCGAACAGCTCCTTTGTTCGGAATATGTTCTTCGAGAACCTATGACTCAGGATCATCGTCTCTCGCAGTCTCGAATTAGTAAAATCCAAATCGGGAAAAACTTCATTATTGGTGATTTTATCGTCGTCAATTTCAAGTGGCACTAATCCTCCTCCGCCTCCGCCACCGGCATTACTATTATTAGTTTTCGATTGTTGAAACAGCTGCTGCAGAGTCAGCTTACCAGTTCGACTCTGACGATCAAGAACAAGAATATTATTGTGTGGTGTGGATTGATGTTGTTGTTGAATAGTTTCGATGGAGTCGATTGCAAACTCGACGACGTTGACATGAAGAGGGAGCTCCAACCCCATGAGCCTTAAGTTGAGGCCGAGATGATCGACGGTGCCGTGGTGGAGGACGGAGCCGTTGGCCAGCAAAAGGATTGAGTTGAAGAGCTTCACAATTCTGAATCCCGGCTGATGAATGCTCAGAATGATGGTTCTGCCCCTGGTCTCAGCCATGGTCTTGAGCATGTCGATGATCTGAAGGGCGGAGGTGCTGTCAAGCCCGGAAGTGGGCTCGTCGAGGATGAGCACTTCGGGGTCGTGGATGACGTCGACTCCAATGGAGACACGCCGCCTCTCTCCGCCGGAGATCCCCCGAACTCTGTCGTCTCCGACTCTGGCGGCGGAGACATGGGAGAGGCCGAGCTCGTTGATTAGGCCCTTGACGCGGGAGCTGAGCTCAAGGGGAGAAACCCTGAGCCTGAGCTTGGCACTGAACATTAGGGTTTCTTCGACTGTAAGCAAAGGAAACAATGTGTCCTTTTGGGTGACGTAGCCGGAGACCTTGTTGAAGTAGGGTTGGCGGAGAGGCTTTTGGTTGACGAAAACGGAACCGCCGTGCGGGGTGAGCTTGCCGGCGAGAATCTCAAGGAGGGAAGATTTACCAGCTCCACTGGGACCAACAATGGCGAGGATCTCCCATGGCCTTGCTCGCAAGTTGACGTCCTTGAGGACTTCTTGCCCACCAACTCCTCCTGCTCTTCCTCTCGATGATCTTCCATCATCTTCAACTGCTACTACAGCTACTTTTGCAGCACATGCAGAAGCAGAAGCAGGTTGTTTGTTTTGGCTGAAGATGTTGAAGAAGTTGCGGTGGGGTGTGTGATTAATCTTGTAGGAGATGCCTACTGCCTCAATCTCACTGCCTTGTTTCTTCATTGAAGATTTCAAGAGCTCTCTCTCTTGTTTGTCTCTCTGTTTTTTCTTTACTTCTTGTTTGTCTCTGCAAAGCTCAGCTCAGTGCTAAATAAGGTTCCAGTTTTATTTTATTTTATTTTTTTGGGTGAACAAGGGTTCCAGCTAGCTGCTACATTGCTTTGTTGTTTCTTTTTCCTAATTTATGTTTTCTAATTTTTCCTCCAGTTTTTTTTCCTTCTCTTCTAACCTGTAAAATACATGGATAGGATATGAGTATATGAGTATTGCAAAGTGATTAATTAGAAGGTAATGCTAATGAGACTAAATTCGAAGATAAATTTGCAAATTAAATAATATGTCAATGTCACCAATAGGAATGAGCAAATTTATCAACGCTTAAGTAATAAATCAATCATCAACTTTCACGTCATTTAATTAGTTTCTAAAATTTTGTCTGCTTAGCATTACCCTTAATTAAACAGGATGCTAGCAAACTTTTCACTTGACATTCTTAGTTATTCTTTTAATATTTTTGTAGCAATGTTAGATGAGGATTGGAACTGTCTAATTTTTAGATCACAATTTAAAGATCAACTCTGAAAGTTCAATCAAAATATAAATTATTCAACCGTTTGATTAACATTAATTTTAAGTGAGAAACATAATTTATTTATTTACTAGATATTGTTATATGACTAAATAGCTACGAATATCAGTTAATATTTGTAGAGATTATCTTTCAAGCCGAAAAGGTAAACAAATAGATTATTAACATTCCTATTAATTGTATATATGATAGTGGAAAAAAATATTCGGGCAAACACGTCATTGGCAAGGTATATATCACAAAACTATGAAACTTCATGTACTTATTCTTGTGGTTCAATAAAATGTGGATCGTATTTAGTGTGAGAGTTATCATAATTATATAACTTAAGATAAGCTTTATCTCATTTGAACCTCGATTGATTGGACATTTTAGAATTTATTTCTATAATATTCATTTACATGTAGCTCATTATAAAGAGAGATTTTCAATGTGCTCGAAATATATGATAATACACCATATATCATTATTCAAGTAGAGATAAGTTTTTCTTTTGAGTGTCGTTCCAATTACACAATGACATATGAGATATGCCGATGGTCCATGCACGGAGGAAAATCTCTCCAACATAAGCTTTATGTTTCTGTTTTGATTTTTGTCCTGGAAAGTTGCATATGCAGAATTGCAGAAAGTTCACGTGGCTTTGGTAAGTGAATACAAGTGTGTGTATATAATATATCTATATATATATATATATATATATATATATATATATATGAAAGTTTGTTTTGTTTCTACATTATACGACATCGTATTTGTATGCTAGCGATCGCATATCCTTGGGACCATGCGATAATGCTGTGTTAACACTTTACATCCAGCTGGTAACCTAATAATCAAAGCCTTTATTTCTGGAGAAATATTATTAATAATTTTCTTAAACTTGAAATGCTAATTAATTAACTAAAACAAAACAAAAATGGCTTTCGAGGGGGTTGAAAATTGAAATTAAGATGATTGCTATCTACTATTCTGTTTTTTGTTTTGTTTTGTTACTCTAAGAACCCTGCTGCTAATTGATGAAATTCATGTTTAATTAGGTAATTAAGTAAGGGAGATTAGAGTAAGTGCCCACCGCATCAATTTGTAATTATGTGTAGGAGTAGGAGTATAGGACCCCTAGCTTAGCTAGGGACTTGAGCAAAGACATAAACCAGTGGCCCCGTTGGCCCTTGAATTTGTGGCTGAGATGAAATCATATTATACCCTACGTACTGGTAGGATTTATCCCTATGGCTTCGTTTTGTAAGTTATGTTAAAAAAGCAATGAAAATTTTGTAGTTAATTTTAAGATAGGAGATAAATTACTTAAAAAGAAACATTACAATCATCCCAATCCTTTTTATATGAGATAATTAGAGGGGAATATGGTTATCTCCGAATCCCTTCCATTCAAATCCTCCATTATCCTTCAATCATATTTGTTCCGTTCACATGAAAATCGAACAACCATCAATCAATGGACGGGAGAAAGTGAAAAGACTTGTACATTGTTTTTGGTTAAAACTTAAAAAGCAAAAGAAAAATTAATTAATTCCTAGACGTTCGATTTTCATGTGAACGTACAAGATTGAAGGATTTTGAGGATCCAAATGAAAGGAATCCATAGAGTCATATTTCAATTAAATGGGATAAGTTTTCTTCACCAATAATGAGACTAATGACTTTAATCCTCTTTTTTTTTTTTTTTTTTTTATTTATCAAGACTTTAATCCTCTTCTAATTTTCACAAAATAAAAAGTCCTTCTCGTCTACTTTCAAAATACTACGAATTTAAAGAGTTTTTCATTTCGCCAAAATAGACATATACATATGCAAAAAAAGGTGGCAAATCAACCGGATTAAGTTGTTAATGATTACATTATGGTTTATTTAATTTAATTTCACCTTACACTATCATCACAATTACTAATATCGTCTAAATTTTATGACGATATTAAAGTAAATGAATCTTAATAAGTACCCATTAATAACCCAATAAACTGATTTGCCACTCCATATGCAGTAGCGCAAGTAGAAAGTTCCCCTTCCTCCACATTTCCCTGTCCATTGAAATTTGAAGGGGAAAAGAAATGAAAATGATGGCATGGAAGGAGTGAATATTTTCTGTGGCGGAGGATGAACGAGGGACAAACAAACAGACAGACAGAAAGAGAGGTAAGATGATGTTCATTGGCGTTGGACCTTAATTAATTCAAGCTTGTGAATGATTAGGTTTCTTAATTTGTGGCTCTCGTTTCATCTCATCTAATTCTAGTGGTTGCTGTTACAGACTTGCTTTTGTCTGGATCAAGAAAGAATCAACATGTCATGCATGCAAGCAAGAAGGGTTGTAGCGCCCGTGAATTCTATATATAATATTATATTACTACGTGGTGGTCTGTGGTCAGGGACGGCCCCATCCCGAAGCGAACCCACCACCGGCTGCCGGTACGTGGGCCCCACCAATGCCCAGTGGCCAATGGGATTCATTCACTCCTTTTACTTTACATCCGTTGACTATGTCTAATACACGCAAACGCAACGTAACTAGGCCCGTGACCGACTGATCCCATCCATCCATCCATCCATCCATCATCCTCTTACCCGCTTCTTCTCGAGTTATTTATTCGTATCATATTTTTGTACCATATTTTCATACTATCTTAAGTGATATTTAATATGAATAGTCATATCATTTGAATTAATTAAAAATAAATTTAGTTCATTATTTAATAAATTTATAATTAAGAAAAACTAGTTAATTAAATGACGATTATTGTATACGAAGAGTCTTTCATTTTCTTGGGTTTCGCAAATTTTTCAAATGATATAGTTGTTCGCATCAGATGCTATCTAAGCTGGTATAGAAATGTGGTATAAAAACATGGTATGAATAGCATTACTCATTCTCCTCAACTCCTAAACCAACTTACAAGTAGGTTGTTTTGCCTTTTTCTTTTAGTTATTTGTTAATAGCTTGAATTATGACAAAGTTACTTAGTACTACGGTTTAGTGATATTTCTCTTTACTATTAAGTGAGAGATCTTAGTTTCGATTCTCGTAGATGGCGAATTCAATACCAAATTAGGTTGTCCGTTGTACAGTTAGCCGAATTCCCCATCATCTTTGTGTAAAATATATTGTTCTACTAAAAAAAAAATTGTGACAAATGTCCCTAAACTTTACTCGAGTTTAGTTTTTGTCCCTAAACCTTTTATGATGATTTTACGTAATCATAATTGAAACAAGGAGTTAAAATTTGATTACATAATAGTAAAGCGATTATTAACTTTGAAGAAATCAATAGAATGGCGGTGCCCACGCAAAATAAGAAATCCAAACTCTTGAATTGGAAGAATTGGACTCCTTAGATGGACGAGATATTTGAATTCCATGAGGGTGAGGGATTTGGCGTTGCACGAGTGGTCCTTTCCATACAAGTGAGGGATTCGATAGAAGATAAGGCAAACTTCACTCGTGCAACATGGGGTTAAGTTGAAGGACCGGAGAAAATATTGTAAGAGTTTATCGACACTTTAGGCTGAAATCCTTACTATACTCACTCGTGTATGGTTTAAAACGAACGCATAACATATCAATGGCTCTTTTGAAATCCAAAACCGTGAAATGGTGGTCGGAAACAACAGCAAAGGCAAAACTATGCTGGATTTCCGACGAGCTGAGCTGATTTCGACAACGTGCAAATACAGTATGAGAATCAACGAAACAATTTAAGCACAAGTTGAGCCGTGCATCATAATCAGTCAATTTAAGCACAATAAATCAACCATAAACAGTCGTCGGTATTACGTCTCATGAATCTATTTGTTCATTGCTCTCTCTTCCCTTCTGTTGAATTCCTTCCATCCTCCCTTCACTTTCCTTGGAAAAAATAGTTGAACCCAGTTTGCACATCAAGTCAGTTTTTTTTCAATCATCAAGAGACAATGTTCAACCCAACCTCAAAGAAAAAGTATCACAAATTCATCAAATGGGGGAGATGACACATCCTAAGATTTCACATGCTCCCTCACAAACTGCTCCACCCGAGATATTTCACCCGTTAGACCAGATGCTTCTGCAACTGTAACTTTGTTCTGGCAATGAGAGAACGAAAATACTTCGCCAGGTACTCCAAGGGTAAAGTCGTTTGCAATATCAGCTGCTGATATTGCACTTCTTGATGCCCGTAACTTCTCGCTGTAGGATGTTATATGTCAAATGTATCAGAACAATGAACAATAAAATAGATTTATGAAGCAGAAACAGAATAATGAATGCAAATCACCATACCTGTCGGCGAATGAACACTTTACAAAACAAAACCAACAGAGAATTGTATGGAAAATTTTGTCTTCAATGCATCATCGACGAAAGTTAGAAAATCACAGCGAAACAGTTTAAAGTCCAACCGATGTACTTATGGAAAACATAGATGTTGATCAGAAGGAATTATCTTCCTCGGAAACCATGAAGACAATGGATATTTCTCATAAAAAAAATGAAGATGCAGGAAATGATTTACGAGTGCATATAACTACCAGTTAATTTAGTCCCACACGGAATTGAAAAGTTCGAGTAAAACATTATAATCAATCAGAGAAAAGAAACCTATAATTACAAGAGTTCAAATCTTACATTTCTTTCTCCAGTTGTTTCCGAATAAATTCCTTGATATGTGCTGTTACTTTGTCTGTCTTGTTGTAGAGAATAAGAACTGGAATTTTCTTCCTCACCACAGTTGCCTTAGTCAAAATATCATATAGGATCGTGGGATATCATTGAGAAATAGGAATCCATGTTATCAAAAGATTTCCTGCGATTATTTTCTAGTATGGAATGAGTCAATCATCCACTTTGGTATCTTATTGAACAAAAATGGTGATATTGTTCCTCCGTTGATCAAGAATTTTGATTTTTGGGAAGTATCATGATCATCCAATAAGAAGGGTTTCAATTTTTTCAAATGAACGATTTGAAGACCTATTGATTCTAACAACTGATTGCAGAGTTGGTCATTCGGACCTTTCAATTCATAGCAAATAAAGTGCCACGAACAGAGTAGCCATTTTTCAATATCATATTGTAGCTTTTATACTGGAAAGAGGAAATCTCACTCAGAAGCAGCACGACAATTAGGTAAGAACTCCAAAGCATCAACCATAAATACTATCCCAGCTGCTTGAGGCAGAAAATCATCTAGTTGGGCTCTAAGGCGAGAATGCCCAGGAACATCGATAAGATGAACATGATTTTCCTTTCCACCCTGTCATTAAAAACCAATAGACGGGTAAGCATGATCAAGTTGACAATCAACAAAAACAACAGTACAAAAGAAAGGGAAGAAAATGATCATGTGGCTAATGTCTTCTACATATCAAAAGCAAACAGATAAGTTAAACTCTGCCCTCACTTAACAAGACAAGCAATATTGTTTGAACATAGTTATTTGCATATGAGCACAAGAGGCTGAAATATACCTTTGAATTTTCCGAATGGAGCACAAAATATCCATCATTTGGTTCCATGGAAGTGACAGTACCTTGATGTGAAGAGCCATCCCGAAGCTGGCATGTGCATCAAATCATGGCATAAAAGTTAGATGAACATTTCTAAGGCATAAATAGATCACCAAAGTAACTTGAAACAGGGAAAGATGGACATACTTAATAAAAGGCATTTAGAATTTCTATATATATTATTTTCCAAGCATTAAACAACAAATTATCTCAAACAGACATAGACTTCCAAATTATATCAGAAAAAAGATAGGGATACAACATCAGCACAGGACCAACCCGATCAAGTTTCTAATTGACATAGAGAAAATAACCAGAGTCATATGGTCTAGATAAATTTCGTTTGCATTACATATTAAAGACTAAGTGTGACATTAGTCACTCTAATGAATGATTTAGAAAATTGGATCAACTATTGAGTCTACAAAAGTGATTCGTATAATGTTTAGAAGAACAAAATCCAATAATCTCAAAGCTTACTTGATAGAAAAGAACAATCTTCCCACAGCCACTATGCCCGCTTATTAGCTTTTGGGCGTTTAAACCTTACTACAACACAGAGATAAAGAAAATATATATTACTGTGGACTCTTTTGAAAATAAATTAAAAAAATATATTACAAGAGTACGTACCCAACAAAAGTAAGAATGAGGTGAATAGCAAGACCGCTATAGCAGCATAAATCTGCTCGGGCGGAACCTGATGAAAGTATTGAAGGGCGTGAGACGACCATTGCTCTGCCTGTTTCTTCCATCATACTTTTTTTGGGATTTTAGGAAACTTTCAGTTTCAGTAGCAGTGATTCTTGGCTTCTTCAGCCTCTGGGAATGTCTAAAGAAGGAACGGAGCTCCACTTGGGAGAAAGTACCCTAAGGGAAGACCAAGACACGGGTATTAGGAGCTTACAGTAAGAGATTTAGAATTTATGGAAGAAACAATATGAGCGGGACATTTGACTCTTAAAAAGAATCTCAAATTCATCACTTACCTGTAAAAATTCAAGTCTAAACACTAAAGAGAATCTCAAATTCATTTTTCACTTGTAAACTTTAAGTCTTAAATATACAGAATCTCTTATTGATTAACAAAAACAGGAATATGAATATCTAGGGCTGGTTCAATATGGGATACCGAACTGAAACTAGTATCTCGAATCTCAAACCGAAATTTTTCGGGACAGAAAATTGAAGACCAATCCCAAACCAAATTTTCGAGAATTCCGAAATATTTTCGGAATTTCGGGACAAATCGAGAATCCCAAATTGAAATATGCAATTATGAATTGTTCTTCAAATATATTCTACTATCAAACTAACGCCATCATATTTCGCTGATTGCAGATAATTGGATCAGTTGAAATTTCTCCATTTCTAGCATTCCAACAACACGTAACTGCTTCAAAGCCATTAGATGGCAAGCCTAATTCTCTGCTTGGTTGCCGAGACAAACAACTTCTCTGGAAGATTTCTCAAAATTCAGAGAAATTAAAATTAAAATACAAGTAGGTGAAATAATCGATTCTCTAATTCCCCCTAAAACCCCAACAATGAAATTAAACAAAACTAACATGTCAACAAGAATGAAAAAAAAGGCTCAAATTTCAAAACCCAGGATAATAAAGAAACAAAATTGACATTACAATTGACAGTAAGTATCACAAAAATGTTCGTTGAACTCGACAAGTAAAATATAGGATAACAGAAACTAAATTTTCCTAGCATTTTCTCGGCAACTAAAAGCGAACCTATAGTACTACACCAGACCTCTCAAAAAGTACTCATTTATAAAACAAAACTTACAGCTACTAACACATCAATCATTAAGAAGAATGAGAAATCCCTGAACTCATTCAAAACCGATGCTCAAAGGCTGCCCAGTATCTAAATTTATCCCATAGTTCATCTATTCCCACTCTGTTATAATCCTCAAAATTTTTCTATTACACTTCAACCAGATGCTCAACTTTTTAAATAATTGACAATTATATAATGTCCATATGTAAGTTAGAGGCATTCACATTAAGCTAACTCCACAGGAATCTCCATAGGAACCTTAATAAATATACGAAATCCCACAAGAACCCGTATGCTTCCAATAGTAAATATTTTCTAATATAGTTAATACTCCATAAACCAACTATGCGATATTAAGGCCAACAATCATCACAAAATATACAAATAGTTAGGAAAATGACTTATTAGCTGTAAAACTAAAAGCTGGAAGAAAACTTTTGTCCCCAAATTGATCAAATATTCAAATTCTCTTCGAGTTTCGATACAGACTTCTATTTTCACACTCAAAGCATAAAGAATAATTCTATTAACAATAAATGAAAAAGCAGAAACTTCTGAAAGTATAATAATGTGAAATATAAAAAAGGATTTCCCCTTCCCAGAAACCAAGAACCCTAATCTGATCAATGCCCGATAAAAAAAACCAACCAATCCCAAATTTCAAATAATACTCAAATAATCAATTAGCAAATTACATACTTTGAATTCCTTAGCAGCGAATTTCAGCACGGCAGCGAAAGGGGCAGTCTCTGGAACGGTAAACCTGGAAAAAATTGATTGATATATAAAAAATTGTAAAAATTCGAAAAGCAAAAAAGCGCCTCGAAGAAGAGAAACTGAAATAGGAATCGAGGTTTATACAATGAACGAACAGTGTGAAGGGGACGAGGCGGATCCGACTCGGAGGGCGATTAAAAAATGCAAGGAAGGTGCTGCATCGAGAGGTGAAAAGGTTGGAGGTGGCAGAGCTAGGGCTTCATTCCATCGCCGAGAGAGAGTAACTGAGAGAGTCGGAGAAAGTCTATTTCTTTTGTCGAGCAGTGAGAGAGAATCTGTTTCGGAAGAGTTATTTAAGTGCTGAAATCGCTTGCCGAAAATGTTTTTGTTTCAAATATTTTCCTTAAGAAGCAGTAAATGCGTACAATTATTTAAAAATATTTTTAAAAAGTGTTTTTAATTATTGAAAAGTATTTTTTTTTAATGCTTCTTTTAAAAACACCTACTCCAACATTTAGAGTAAAAATCAAATTTTAAATTCTAAACATATATTAACTTGCTTCAACCTTTAGGGCAAATATGAACTCAAAACTCATTTCCAGGCCAAATTTAGCCCAAGATTCCCCTGGGTTAGTGGGGTTGGTCCATTGTATATATATATTTCTTTTATGTGTTTCATATTATTTCATAGTATTTCACGAGTTTCTTGGTGTTGGTTAGTGATTTTTCAATATTTGTTGGAATCTAAATATTTTTAGATTAAAATATTCATAAAATTAAAATAGGATAGTCTACATAATTTTTTCTTTAAAAAAATTACTTTAAAAATAACTTAAATTCATTCTTTAATGATCTGTGGCTAAAATTTTAACCCATAAAGGTTAGAGCAAAAAACTGTTTTTGGGTTAAAACCTACATTTTTTGGGCTAAAAATGTTAGGTTTTAACGCAAGGGTTGAAGATGGTCTTAAAGAATTCTCTTATCAATCAATTTGACTTTAGTAAAAAAATGGAAATTCTCCATATTGAAACCAATGCATGGACTTTCTAGTGTGCTCACTAGTGTTCTAAAAACCGGCCTAGGCGATGAAGGCCCGCCGCAATTTAGTGCAAATTGTTTTGAAAAATTGGTCTGGAGCTAGGTGGTCCTAAGCAGCGCATAGGCGGTCCTAGGCGA